GGGCCATCAGGCGACAGAAGGCGAGCGCCGACCGCTACCGCCGTGAAGCCCCGGTGTATGCACCGGGGGACCGGGTCTGGCTCTCGACCTGAAACCTGCCCCTTCGCCTGCCCTGCCGGAAGTTGGGTAGGCGGTTTGTGGGCCCATTTAAAGTCCTGAGGAGATTGAACGAGGTATGTTATAGGTTACAGCTTCCTATTAATTATCGTATTAACCCCTCGTTCCATGTGTCTCTCCTCAGGCCGGTGGTAGCTGGTCCACTCCAGGAGTCTGAGATACGGGAGGTTCCTCCGCCCCCACTGGACATCGAGGGGGTACCGGCGTACTCGGTCCGTTCCATCCTGGATTCGAGGCGTAGGGTGGGGGGCCTGCAGTATCTTGTGGAGTGGGAGGGGTACGGTCCGGAGGAGCGGTGCTGGGTTCCTAGGAGGGATATCCTTGATCCCTCCTTGTTGAGAGAATTCCATCAAAATAATCCCACTCGCCCCGCGCCGCGTCCTCCTGGCCGTCCCCGAGGCCGGTGACGACGCACGGCTGGAGCCGTCACGGATTCTGCCGAGACTGCCCTTCCTTCTGGCTCGGGCAGGCTTCGGCGTTCGTCGTCACCGGAGTACTAGCTGCTGCCGCTCTATGTTTTATGTTTCTATGTTCATCTGATTGTTGTCTGTTGTTGCGCACCTGTTCCCTATTATGTTATTTGGTCTTCCCTATTTAACCTGTTCACGTCCACTGTGTGGTGTGCGTGTTTGTTGCTTGTACGAGTGTCATTTGTGAGCGCGTTTGCTCCTCCCTGTGTTTGGAGGTTTTGCTTGTATTTCTTTACTATTCATTAAAGTGGATCTTCATTTCATTCTGTGTCCTGCGCTTGACTCTGTCCTACCGCATTCCACAGACATTCGTGACAGAAGGCCGATGCTCCAGACTTTGGGAATCTCGCTCTGCTCCTCGCCCTGCTCACATACACTGGACTGGACAATAATCAAGATAAGATAAAACTAGAGCCTGCAGGACTTGCAGTGTGGTGTCAAAAAAGCAGAGCATCTCTTTATTACAGAAAGACCTCTCCCCATCTTTACAACCATTTAATCTATACTGTATATGTTTTGAGCTGCGTTTGTATGATTAAATGCTGTTCAAATGTCCTATGAAATTAAAATGCCACTTGTCTCTATATCACCTTGTAGTAGGCCTACAATACAGTCCTCAAATGCAAATTTACATTAAATCTGGAGAGAAACACAATGCTTTCTTATACTTGCAAATTTGTGTGCTGAGAATATTGGGTAAAACTTAAATATAACATTTTCTAAATGTTCTTGAAATGTTCTGAGAATCTCCAAGACAAGGTCAAATGTATATTGCATGAACATCAATATAATATTATGTTAAACCTAAAACAAATATACTATGAACGTCATAAAAACTGACTAGTAAGTATCTGTGCTATTGAAATATGAGTGTAAGTCATCCACAGTCAAATGTCAACTGTAACTGTCTGTTTAATATCCTTCTTTATAGTGGGGATGATGGCTGAGACTACAGCAGAGTTCTGTTCGGTGGTGTGGAGATTATGTTAATTTGACCCTGAGTTTTGTCAGAGACGATTTGTTGAAAAGTGTTGCATAGTGAGCTAGGGCCTGAATAATTACAACACTGTTTAGAGAAGTTACTTTCTTCTCCTCCGTCAGATGTTGATGGATAGCAGAGGGAAGTTTAAGGGCAGGATGGTGCCAGTTATTACTCATTCCATTGAAGTTACTTCAGAATTACTCCAGAATCCATTCCAACTTGTTTTAATGAGTGTAACTGGATGACATTTTATAAAGATTTGGTGTGAGTGACCAAGCAAATAATATATTTCTAAGGATGCACTGTCGTACTGGTTATCTAAGCCTTTATTTGGATGCTGCTATGTGTTATGTTTTTTGGATTTGATTAAATCTGGCCCTATGTTTTTAAAGGTTATCGGATAGGCAAAAAAACTGTATTTGTTTGCTGTTACAGGTTTCCACAGCATAGCACCTGTTCACAGGCAAACAACAATATTTGTATTGTCTGAAATCACACTCATTTAGAATGTTTGCAAATCATTTTGCTCTCCATTTAATTGACCAAAACGAGAAGGCTAGTGCTGCACTGAACATCGATTAGTGTTTTCAATGGGCTTCTCTCTGACAAGCTTAAATTAACTAGAAGATAATGGGGAAGACTGCAACACAAACCAAACCTGAATTGAAGGTCATTTAAACATTTTGGAAATTGTGAAACATTATGCAACATTGTGGGATTGTTCTGTGCAACCTTCGTGAATATCACAATAATATGTTTTGCAACATTGAGGGAATGTCCTGTGCAACCTAAGATTAACATTGTATGAATGTCATTACAACTGAGCATATTTTGTGTTTTGGGAACCTACTGTATCGCTTGTCATATGCCCACAATGTTCCAACAACCTAAAGAAACATTCCCTGGAATCTTTAAAGGACAGACTAAATGTGTTCTGTGAACGTTCTAGTAACATCAGGTGAATGTTCTTTGCACGCTAAAAGAAACATTGCACAATCATTCGCACAACTGGACATTTTCTGTTTGTTTTGGGAACATATCTTTTGTCATATCCCCACAATGTTCCCACCAGACTGTTCCCACAACCTAACAAAACATTCTGGGAACCTTTAAAGAACAGACGAAATGTGTTCTGGGAACATTCTTGTAACATCAGGTGAATGTTTTTTGCACCCAAAAAGAAACCTTGTATAATCATGCGCACAAGTGGACAGTGTTTTGTGTTTTGGGAACATATCTTTTGTGATGTGCCAACAATGTTCCCACCAGACTGTTCCCACAACCTAAAGAAACATTTTGGAAACTTTTAAAGAACATACAAAATGTGTTAGGGGAATGTTTTATACAAACATTGTATAATCATCAGCATGACTGGATAGTTTTTGTGTTATGAGGACATTTGCCGCAACCTAGCAAATGTTATGGGAACTTTCACAGAACCAATTTTCGTTTGCTGAGAAAACATTACTGGTACATTGTGTTATTACATTACCTGGATGCCTAATGAGAACTTTTGGGGAATGTTCTGTGGTGGTTGTTACAGATGTTGTGCACAACATTTTAGTGAATGTTAGGAGAACATTCCAAGGATAAAAATAAAACAAAATAAACTATGAAGATTTTGTTATCAAAAACATTATTTGAATGTTTTTGGAATGTTATCATCCTAATGTTAGATAAAACCCTAACTAGAATTTAATGGGAATCTTAGCTAATGTTCTGGGAATGTTCCCGGTTTGTTGGGATGACTATAACTATTGTTCCCTTAAAGAGGGAAACAAGGTACAACATCTAATCGACCCGCGCCGCCCACTTCTGGGCTCCGTGAAGAGTGATACCAAATTGAAGGAATGAATCCATGCCTCGGGTTTGTCACCTGTGGAAGGTGGGGTTTCCAGTGAGGCATGGTGTTCATCGACCTTCTAATGTTCTTCAGTAGAGGGCACTAGCGTACAAACTCCCCATAGCTGTGTTGCACCTCGTTTCCCTCCTTCAGGGAACAGTAGTATAGTCATAACTGTATGATTCACACCACCTCTGCATAACCCATTACATTGGTCATCTGTACAGAAGAGACCATGTCACACAGTCAAAACACTATTCTCTGGAAATGGTCTTCTACGGAAAATTTCATTGGGATGACATAGCTTACATAGAGATTAGGGGCAAATCGACGGATTTGGTTCGCTTACTCAATGATTATGCCAAGTCCCTATACGCCAGCACATTTTCAATATTCCCACATGTTGGGCACTTGCAGCCTCCAGATCTAGGCTATTTTTCCTATGAATAGGCCTACCCCAGTTTTATTCTGATTGTGTAATAATGTGTTCTTTCTCCCTCTGATTTTCCCCCATACCAGAGAAGCTGAACTAGGTTCTCTTATGTTGGCCAGCCCCCTCCCCCCTCATTGTCAGTTGCCGTGCAACAGCAAGTGACATAGAGTTTAGCTTGCTGTACTACAGTTTGGATGACAGACAACTATCCAGAATATGGTGATAAAGGCGGAATGAAAATCCCCTGCCTTTTCACACTCTCCTCCTCCCTCATACTCTCTTTTTGTTGAGGACCTGACTGCTGTGCTGTCTCAGCTTTGTTGTACTGTAGAGTAGCTGTTTTAACTTCACTGTGAGAATGTGCTTTTACAGTACCCTCCTCTAATACAGTACTGAGCCATTGTGCAGTTTGGACTATTGTTAGCGCCTTGTTCACTCCTCCAAGCACTCATACCTGTAGTGTTTTCAATACTCCCTGATGGTCTCACTTATCGTTTTAGTGATTGTTAGCAGGATTACTATTGTAATTTCTACACAGTTTCTATCTGTTTTCACTCATTATAGTAGGTTTTTTCAAGAACATAAAAAAACACATTCAATTTAATCGCTGGCCATTGTTCTATCTACAGTCTTTGATGGGGGAAACAAAAAAGCCAGTATTAAACCTTGAATAAAATGGAAATGACAAGCTTTTCTTCCAAATTCTGTTTTGGCTCTCAATACATGTAACATTTCATCTCAGATTGAGACAGTAGATTGTGTGATCCATAACTAGTCACTGTCAAAGAGCAGCAAAACCAGCTTATCATGAAAACAATTGAGAGTAACATTTTGCGACTTGTTACTATCCCTCTCTATCTTCCCCCTCTCTCTTCCCTCTCTCCCTCTGCAGGCTTTGGGCAAAAGAGCGAGTGCTTGCGATTCCAATCGGAAGACTTGAATAAACAAAGAGAGAGAAATAGGTAAGGGGGGGGGGGGGGGGGGGGGGGTGGAGGGAGAGAAGAAAAGAGGGGGGGTGGAAAGGGAGAGGTAAAAAAGAGAAAGAGATACTGTTCGTAAGTGTGTAGGCAGGCAGTGCTGTAAAGTGGAAAGGGGAAGGCTGCAGAAAAGTGTGGGCTGGGTTAGACTGCTAGCTACTTAAAAGGAGCTGGCTGTGGCGGCTCAGCATTCGAGGAACAGACAGAGGCAGTAGGAGAAGAGAAGCAGGAGGGAGACTTGGATGAGAAAAATCCAGGGAAGGTGGTACTCTACTCTCCTCTCACTGCAACAAGTATATTTTTAGGCATCTTCTCCTCTTTGTTTTCTTGACCTTACTATCCTCTGGTTGGAGAGACTGCTCTAGGGCCAGAATGGCCAGAATGCTTTGGGCAGTGGTGGTTCTGCTACTGCCACTTTTGGGACTCTGTCAATTTGTCCTGCCACCCGAGTGGGTGCCAGGGAACTACCCTGCCACAGAGGTCGGGGCTGAAAGCTTTGTCAATGCCTACAATATCTCCGCCGAGCTTGTCACCTACCAAAACCAAGAGGCCAGCTGGACATACCAGACAAACATTACGGCCCACAACTCCAACAAAAAGGTAGGACTCCCCCCCCCCCCCCCCCCCCCCTTCCCCACTCTGCACACAGCACACAGAGGTGTTTGAATGAAAGGTTGACAGTTGTTGAATGAGTTAGTTGTTAGCCTCTTCAGTCCAATTGGAACCACAATGGACCAGATAGAGTTGTAGGTAACACTTTACTGTAGCCGTCCTTATGTATGCATTCATAAAGGCTTTGTGAATGTTGCATAGCTGTTATAAAGGCTTTATGAATGCATGAATAAGGAGGTGGGTACTGTAAAGTCTTCCTCAGTTATGTTTGCCAGGGATAGACTGGTTCCTTGTATGACAACAGCACCCATAGAGGGATGTTTGTTGGGTTGAGCCCCGCATGGCTTTACAACCAACCCTATTCATCCTCATCCAAAATGATATGCTCAGTTCCTCCCATTTCTGCCAACTCAGCTTGTATGTTTTGTGAAATCATCAAAAGAACCCACACACATGTGGTTTGAGCGTCTCCGAGTCTTGAATGAAGCCAGCGGGGTGTGGGGTGTGTGTGGAGATGGTAGAATGGGGGTTGTTATTTTGTTAGATGCCTATAAATTCAAATGTCCGATTATTTTCCAAGCATTGTACTGGTATACGAGGAAAATGCAATTTCAGAGGTTAATGCATTTTACATTTTATAACATGGACTTCCTAGTATAAACAATGAAAGACACCGTAGTGCGGTTTAAATGGGACTTTTCAGAGTGGAGTAATGAGGCATTTGCATGCTAGTGCCGCCTGCTTCTCTTTTACTGCTCCTCCCGTCTCACCATATGCTAGCAGGAGTACATTTGCATAACCGAATGGGCTGAGGAAAAGTGTTAGCTAGAGACTGTGAAAAAATTGAAAAGTAGAGCAATCCAGGGAGTTGGAAGGATCAATGAAACTGCAGAGGTGTGAGGCAGTAATCTGTTGCTCTGAGAGAGAAACAAACACACACATACACACACGCACAAGCACGCATGCACACACACACACACACACACACACACACACACATGAACACACACACACGCACCAGGCATCGACAGTCTCCGCCAGTTATGGACGCTATTATTCCTCACACATCAAAGATTGGATCAAAGGGAATCAGGGGCTTTGGTGTTCAATAAGATCTGGCAGACAGAGGGTAGCCTGCCTGGTCTCTCTCCGAGTCTCCTCCCCACAGGCCCTGACACTGAATTAGCATGTCCCCTCATCTCACGAGAGAAAGGCCTATTGACTGGTGGGGATGTACTGTAAAGTTAACACCAACATCCCATTCAACTTGGCCTTGGCCTGGGATTCCCACGTCACTGAGTTAATCTTTGTCTCAGTCCTTGTCTCAGAAATGACCTTTGTCGTAGTGGATTACTGATATGCAGAATCTGAGGCGAAAATGTTCTGTTAAACTTTACTATGGTAAAGCATTTGAATAGGCTAGATGTATTCCCCCTGCACCTCTATGTGTACGCAGACACACACACACACACACACACACACACACACACACACACACACACACACACACACACACACACACACACACACACACACACACACACACACACACACCTATGATAACCTTGCAGTCTCAGAAGAAGTTATTTAATCTCAGTCCAAATGAGCCCAGGCCGAGCAGAGCAAAGGATCAAACAGCAGTCAGATCAGTCCGGAGGGTTAATATCAATTAGGCTCTAAAAATGTAAATGCTCAAAGAACACCGCTGGTTGTGGGCAACCATCAGTTACTTTGAAATGTGGACGGAATATCAACTATCCAAAAAGTACATGAAACGTGTGCACCCAGGGCTGTCAAAGCAGGTCCAAATCCATGGTGTGCTGCTTTCAAAGCGTCTTCTGTCACTTAACTTTCATAGAGCACAGTTGAATAAAGCATTCGTTCTCCTCAGAAAAACTGAAATAATATGAAGCGAAGATGCACAGTACTTTATTTAGCCAAACACTGAGAGTACCATTTGAAATTGACTGCGATTCCTAGTTTTTCAGAATTCCGACGTTGTAATTGGATGGGAACATTTGACTAACACGTTAAAGGAGATCTTTCCCTCCTAATTCCCCTTTTTACAAATTAACTTTCTCTTGATGAGAAGCTTAACAAGAGTGAACCTTGGGCCCTTTGTGTAATGACACTATACTATACAGTCAGGGCCTCTAAATTACAGTCAAGCTTTCATAAGTGAGTGAACACATTCAACAGCCTTGAGAAAGAGGGAGAGGGGGGGGGGGGCAGTCAACAGCTTTTCACCTTATCTTTATTGTCCAATAGAAAAAGAGAGAAGAGTTCAATCTGATGATATAATTGAGTGTGTGTCAGCAAAACCGAGGTTAAGAGAGGGAGAGATTGGGAGAGAGGTCAGAGTTAATGCCTCAACACTGTGTCCAGTATTCCGTCCAGCCCACTGTTAATCAGTGGCGGCAGAGACACAGCAGATAAGCTGGACCTCAATGAAAACATCACGTAACAGAAGCTACTGGTCCTCTGTAGCTCAATTGGTAGAGCATGGCTCTTGTAACGCCAGGGTAGTGAGTTTGATCCCCGGGACCACCCATACGTAAAAATGTATGCACACATGACTGTAAGTTTCTTTGGATAAACGCGTCTGCTAAATGGCTTATTATTATTATTATTACTGTCTTGTCAGCCCTGACAGGATGTCTATGTCCTGGGCTGTGACAGACAGCCCCAGTGTCCTCAGTGTCCTGACAGTAACAAATAACATAACTACTGTACTGGCGGTCCTGTTGGAGCATCTTCAACCCCTAACACAGTGGAGGTAGACAGAGTGCACCAAAAATTCCCTGTAGGAAATCATAAAGCAAGAAAGGCAGCTGGGGAACTAGTAGGTTTTCAATGAGTGATGACTTTTTAATAGCGCGACAAAAACAACAGTACCCAAATGGGTTCAAATAACAATGTATGGAGAGTGCACAAAAGTACACAAAGGGACCGTTTACTAGGGCCAGTCCACCCAGTCTAGGAACAAACACCCAGGAAGAAAAGGAGTGGCTTTGTGTTTTCCCCAAACATGATACTACAGTTACAGAAACCCAAAACTACTGTACCTTGGGGCATATTGACACTAGGGCCACATTGTAGCACACATGGATGTGTGACTCTGTGTCATCTTGGGGTTATCATTCTTCCTCATTGGCTGTGTGTCATACAAATTGTGTCGCTGGTGAGGCGTTCACTCTACTGTAAAAACACTCTTAACTGATAACAAAACAACACTATCTAATCTGTTTGTAATAGTATTGGTAAAACACGTAAACTGTCAGAAGCAGTCACTAGGGTGACCTGAGGCGGTTTGGCTAGAGCCTCTCAACCCTTTGATGTATCTGTATTGCGCTTCAGTCAGTATCATAATGGTCAGGATAGCATGTTAGGTGTTATGTGTGTGATGCTCTGAGCGGCCTTGCCTTCCAGCATCCCTCATGTATCAGCATTGTCATACAGCACAGCACAATGTTGCATTGACTCTATTCTACTCTATGGTGGCCTTCCAGGATAATGTCAAGGACAGGTCTCACGTCTCATATTATGAGGTTTATGTACTGCCTACGTAGTAAGAGCAAGAGAACAATATAATGTCTGTGTCCTTGAACTGTGAGCGATGCTGTCCCTTTCCTAGTTCAGTAGTCGTCTCCACTCCTTAATAATATGCACAAGGCACTTTTTGATCCGGCGGCCAGGGTTCTCTAGCTTTGTACTCCCACTCAACCCCTGAGCTCTGACTGTTGCCACGAAGAGGGCCTTCTGGCCCACAGCTAACTGTCATGATCCCCATCAATATTCAATATGCTGTGGGCTTTTGCTTGTGATTAGTGCAATGCAATCAGTCTTACAACACTAGACCAGAAGTAGGGAATAAGACAAATACAGTAGGAAAATTATTGTGTGAGTGGCCATGATATAGAAATGGAGACTGTACAGTTAGTGGATTCCTTGTTTCTGGGAAGTAGTTTTGTAATGGCTATTCATAGTTTTCTGAACAAAATATACAGTATCATCAATTACCCAAATGATTGGATGTCAATGGTACCTGTGTGTTCTACTTCCACCTTGGACTGTGACTACTGGTGTTCAACCTTCCCAAGTTCTCTCACGTCACCACGCTCCTCCGCACACTCCACTGGCTTCCGGTTGAAGCTCGCATCTGCTACAAGACCATGGTGCTTGCCTACGGAGCTGTGAGGGGAACGGCACCTCCGTACCTTCAGGCTCTGATCAGTCCCTACACCCAAACGAGGGCATTGCGTTCATCCACCTCTGGCCTGCTGGCCCCCCCTACCTCTGCGGAAGCACAGTTCCCGCTCAGCCCAGTCAAAACTGTTCGCTGCTCTGGCACCCCAATGGTGGAACAAGCTCCCTCACGACGCCAGGACAGCGGAGTCACTCACCACCTTCCGGAGACACTTGAAACCCCACCTCTTTAAGGAATACCTGGGATAGGATAAAGTAATCCTTCTACCCCCCCCCCCCCCCCCCCCCCCCCCCCCCCCCCCCAAAAAAAAATACAATAAAAAACATATTGTAAAATGGTTATCCCACTGGCTATAAGGTGAATGCACCAATTTGTAAGTCGCTCTGGATAAGAGCGTCTGCTAAATGACGTAAATGTAAATGTAAATGTGCTCAAGATACAGGATGCTGTGATGTGAGGGCCGTTGGGCAGCTACACTATAGTAACCCCATCACCTGTCTGTGGTTACAGGTAGAATCTGATGGGTTAAAGCAGGCCTTCACAGAAGCCTGGGGGAAGAAAGCCAAAGAAACCTTCTCTGATATTCTGGTGGCCACCTTTAACGTTACTCTGCAGAGGCGTATCAAGAAGATCAACATCCTGGGAGCGGCTAACTTACCTGCAGGAGAAAGAAACGAGGTCAGTCTCATTTTGTCTACATCTTATCAGAGGAGCGTTATCACAAGCTTTGAGTCAGACTCAGAATTAGATGCTGTGCATCAATGTGATCCTGAAATGTCAACATGTCTGTAGTAGATGTTATAAGACATAATATGTTTAGTTCTGTTGTAGGACGGCATCAGCAAGGTCTGAATGGAGTCACAGAGAAATTTTGTCTTTTCACAATCTCCTTATTTCCCCAGTACAACGTCATACTAAGCAAGATGTCTGAAATATACTCTACTGCCAAAGTGTGTCCAAAGCCAGATGAATGCTGGTCTCTTGAGCCAGGTAATTACAGTTACAATTACAATATTATGCTTATTGTAAAAAAATAAGGGAACAATAAGGGAACTTAACAAGGAATAACAAAGGAAAGGGGTATACCTTTCCAAAAAATACAAAAAACAAAATAATTGTATCAAGTTAGGAAAAGGATGAGGGCAATTACTTTGAAGAGGTCTCTGGAGGAAGTGGTTCAATTTAAGCTCTTTAGGAACATTAAAATGGCCTACTAATGGTAACCAGACTACAGTGCAGAGCACGCTGACTTCATCAGTCATTCCCAATTACGTAAGTGTTGGATTAAAACCTGGCCTGTGATTTGTGAGCTGTGCCCGCCCAAAAACTAATGTGAACTATCATGATTGCCAAAACACATTAGAGATGTGTGAGAAGTTTATGTGAAGGCATTCCACGCAAAATTCAGTAATACGCTCAAACAATCACTTTTGCACTTACTGGAAGTCATTTCCCAATGTTATGCAGTGTAATGGATGGAAATCAAACCTCAACAAAAACAAAATGCGCTTACAGGCCTGCTACACTGTGTACACTGTGTACAATCAGCTGTGTACGGTCCTGCCCCCCCCCCCGGTGCATGTTTTGGTTTTTGCCTTAGCACTACACAGCTGATTCAAATAACCAACTCATCATCAAGCTTTGATTATTTGAATCAGCTGTGTAGTGCTAGGGCAAAAACCAAAGCGTGCACCCAGGGGGGACCCCAGGACTGTGTTTGCGAAACCCTGCCCTAGTGTCATACATACTGTGTGTTACAGTACAAAATCAGATGTATATAATGCAAATTCAGTCTACATTTCAATCTAGATCATGGAAATGGTTTCTGTTAATGTGTTTACACTCCAAAATCCAGAGTCCACTTCCCACAGATGATTCCTAATTTTACAATCTACTAAAGTAAACATTGGGTGGTTCAGGGACACTCGAAAGTATCTGACCGGTGTTGCCCATCACAAAACAACGCCAGCCGTTGGATCACCAAACTCACTTTGTTCAGTAGCCTTCAACTTCCCTATTTTCTCACCTTCACTTCCTATACCCAGCCTGTAAAATATATATGTTGTTTTTAGGTCACTATCTGCCTCCGTCGCATCATCATAACTCAAGACTAATCTCTTAGCAAATGTATCTGATATGCACCTCTCCCACTGAGAGGAGAGCATGAAGTCATCTACACTTCTAGGCCTCATTGTTTAAGAAAAGTTAAAACTACCATTGTTCTCTTTCTGTTGGCGCCGTTTGGAAATCCAGAAGTCCCCTGTGTAGGGCATTTCTGTATTCTGTAACTGAGGGTCTCTTTGACTTTGCCTCCACAGAGCTGACAGAGATCATGGCCAACTCACGGAGCTACAAGAGACTGCTGTATGCTTGGGAGGGTTGGCACAATGCATCGGGTGTGCCACTCAAGGCAGAGTATCCAAAGTTTGTGGAGCTTAGCAACAAGGCCTATAAAGCTGATGGTAAGAATATCACGTTGACCTTACATATGGTATATGGTAAAAGCCCACAATTGTGTGTCACTATTTCTAGCATATTTCAGAGGCATTGTAAGTGAGGTCCATAGTTGTAGTGAGAGAGACAGAGGAGAGGTGGACAAGAGGTGAAATGTCATTGTTGATAAACATATGGTTGTGTCCTCTTTAGGTTTTGAAGACACAGGAGCATACTGGCGTTCGTGGTACGAGTCACAGACTTTCGAGAATGACCTGGAGGCTATTTACAAACAGGTGCAGCCGCTCTACCAGAATCTTCACGCCTTTGTACGCCGCAAGCTCTACAACCACTACGGCCCAAAATACATCAATCTTAAAGGACCAATCCCTGCTCACCTGCTAGGTGAGTTTACCTTTAAATGTCTGTTTTAACTTATAGCCAATGCGAAATGTTCAGTCACTGATTTATCAGCCATTTTGTCAACTATATCTCACTCCATCAAAGCTTAGCATTAGCTAGGGCCCTGAGTTTTTCCTGACCACTTGGCCCTGACCTGGGCCCTACTTATAGACGTTACTATCAGACACATAATGTAGGTTAGAACAGGCCCCGCAGTTTCCTGGTCAAGTCACGTAGTCAGGAAACCCCAAATGCTAGCTATAGCCCATTGCTCACAGAGTTTGTGAATAAGGAGGCTCAGCCAGTAGATTTATTAAGACTCTGGCTAATGCTAAGTGCCTGTGCTTAATTTATTCAGGAAACATGTGGGCGCAAACCTGGAACAACATCTATGGCATGATGATCCCCTTCCCCAGCAAACCCAATGTGGACGTGACAGATGAAATGATGGCAAAAGTAAGCTGGTGAAATTGGAGAATTAGTTATTAGCTCAGTTTGGGTTGGAAATATTTTAAAGTTAAGAAATGGCAATATATCGAAATTTATATCTAAAACTCTCTCTGTGTTTGTTAAAAAACTACAAAAAAAAAAAACTACAACTTTTCTCTAGACTAGTTGAAATCATTTGTACCAAGTCAAAGTTAGTCCATTGAAAGTCTGTTAACATTAGCTTGGCCATACAGTGCATTCAGAAAGTGTTCAGACCGTTTCACTTTTTCCTAAATGAAAATAGGCTTTTAGAAAGTTTGGCAAATTTATTATAAATAAAAAACAGAAGTACTTTATTTCCATAAGTATTCAGACCCTTTCCTATGGGACTCGATATTGAGCTCAGGTGCATCCTGTTTCCATTGATCATCCTTAAGATGTTTCTACAACTTGATTGGAGTCCACCTGCGGTAAATTCAATTGATTGGACATGATTTGGAAAGGCACACACCTGTCTATATAAGGTCCCACAGTTGACAGTGCATGTCAGAGCAAAAACCAAGCCATGAGGTTGAAGGAATTGTCCGTAGAGCTCAGAGACAGGATTGTGTCGAGGCACAGATTTGGGGAAAGGTACCAAAAAATGTCTGCAGCATTGAAGGTCCCCAAGAACACAGTGGCCTCCATCATTCTTAAAAGGAATACGTTTGGAACCACCAAGACTCTTCCTAGAGCTGGCCGCCCGGGCCAAACTGAGCAATCGGGGGAGAAGGGCCTTGGTCAGGAAGGTGACCAAGAACCCGATGGTCACTCTGACAGAGCTCCAGAGTTCCTCGGTGGAGATGGGAGAACCTTACAGAAGGACAAACATCTCTGCAGCACTCCATCAATCAGGCCTTTATGGTAGAGTGGCCAGATGGAAGCCACTCCTCAGTAAAAGGCACATAACAGCCCACTTGGAGTTTGCCAAAAGGCACCTAAAGGACTCTCAGACCATGAGAAACAAGATTCTCTGGTCTGATGAAAGCAACACTTAGGCCTGAATGCCAAGCGTCACGTCTGGAGGAAACCTGACACCGTCCTTATGTTGAAGCATGGTGGTGGCAGCATCATGCTGTGGGGATGTTTTTCAGTGGCAGGGACTGGGAGACTAGTCAGGATCGAGGGAAAGATAAACGGAGCAAAGTACAGAGAGATCCTTGATGAAAACCTGCTCCAGAGTGCTCAGGACCTCAGTCTGGGGTGATGAAACAGGACTACGACCCTAAGCACACAGCCAAGACAACGCAGGAGTGGCTTCGGGACAAGTCTCTGAATGTCCTTGAGTGGCCCAGCTAGAGCCCGGACTTGAACCCGATCGAACATCTCTGGAGAGACCTGAAAATAGCTGTGCAGCAACGCTCCCCATCCAACCTGACAGACTTGAGAGGATCTGCAGAGAAGAATGGGTGAAACTCCCCAAATATAGGTGTGCCAAACTTGTAGCGTCATACCCAAGAAGACTCAAGGCTGTAATCGCTGCCAAAGGCGCTTCAACAAAGTACTGAGTAAAGGGTCTGAATAATTATGTAAATTTCATATTTCAATTTTTATTCTTTATAAATTTGCAAATATTTCTAAAAACCTATTTTTGCTTTGTCATTATGGGGTATTGTGTGTAGATTGATGAGGGGAAAAAACTATTTTATCAATTTTAGAATAAGGCTGTAACGTAACAAAATGTGGAAAAAGTGAAGGGGTCAGAATACTTTCTGAATGTACTGTATATACCTGAAATGCAATGATTTTCCTCCTCCTAGAACTGGAATGCTACTCAGATGTTCCGGGTGGCTGAGGAGTTCTTCACGTCCTTGGGCCTCATCAAAATGCCCCAAGAGTTCTGGGACAAGTCTATGTTGGAGAAGCCAGAAAATCGGGAGGTGGTGTGCCACGCATCTGCCTGGGACTTCTACAATAGAAAGGACTTCAGGTGAGCAAGTGGAAATGGGGTTATGGAAATTAACTCTGGAGTGGAGAGAAGAGAGGCTTCAATTACCCCATGCTATGAAGTTGAAATGTCTTCATATGTGATGTTTCCTCACATTCAGGATCAAACAGTGCACTACAGTCAACATGCAGCAGCTTTTCACAGTGCACCACGAGATGGGCCATGTTGAATACTACCTGCAGTACAAGGAACTGCCTTACAGCTTCCGCCGCGGTGCTAACCCAGGTTTCCATGAGGCCATTGGTGACGTCATGTCCCTCTCTGTGTCCACACCTAAGCATCTGGCCAGCATCGGCCTATTGCCTAATGCAACCAATGACCACGGTACGCAAAAATATATCTTTGGCACCCTGTTATAAAACAATTACATTTTTGGTGGTTAGTAAGTAAGTAGGTACAGTGTTGCCAAGTAAGTAAGTAACTAACTAAGTAACTAAATCAAGTAAGAAAGTAAATGAGTACGTAAGTAACTAAGTTAGTAAGTAGTTATTTAGTTAGTTACCTATTTACTTGCTTGCTTACTTAGTAAGTTACTTAGTTTCTTAGTTATTGTGGTGGTTATTCTTTTTGTGTTATTTAATTTGCTTGTTCATTGTAGAGAGTGACATCAACTACCTGCTGAAGATGGCTCTGGAGAAGATGGCCTTCCTTCCCTTTGGCTATCTCATTGACCAGTGGAGGTGGAGTGTGTTTAGTGGGCGCACCACCCCAGAGCGCTACAACGCAGACTGGTGGCACCTCAGGTGAGTGGCAAGAAAATATTTAATTTGATGAAAGTTTGTGGAGGGAAATTGTTTATATCCAAGATAATAGTGCATTTTATATAATGGGAGATATACTTTTTTTTACATTGTAATTTTGTCTTCCCTTGTTCACTTTCAAGGACAAAATACCAGGGTATCTGTCCTCCCACCAAACGCACAGAGGAGCACATGGATGCTGGAGCAAAATACCACATTCCAGGAAACACCCCATACATCAGGTAGGATTCTCTTTCAAACCATCTCACTCACTTTTTTTCCTCATATCCACAAACAGGGATATTATTATCGGCCCTTATTCTGTACATACACTTCAGGAATAAAGATATATATAAATATTACCAATACGCATAAATTAATACAAAATTGATCCTCAAACGCCATCAATCCTCAAACATCTCAGCAAACCGGGAACATTCCCAGAACATTGGCTAAGATGCACATTAAGTTTTAGTTAGGGTTTTATCTAACATTAGGATGATAGCCTCCCAAAAACATTGAAATAATGTTTTTAATAACAACATTTTTTAAAACAAAATAAATGTAATGTTTTAAATGAAATATCCTTGGAATGTTCTCCTAACATTCACTAAAATTTGAACTTTTAAAGAACAGGTGAATGTTTTTTGCACCCCAAAATAAATATTGTATAATCATCGGGACAGTTCATCTTTTGTGATGTCCCCACAATGTTTCCACCAGACTATTCCCACAATCTAATGAAACATTTCGGGAACCTTTAAAGAACAGACAAAATGTGTTCTTGCAACATCAGGCGAATGTTTTATGCAAACATAGTATAATCATCAACACGGCTGACGAATGTTCTGTGAACTTTCACAGAATCAATTTTGGTTTGCTGGGATGATTAATTAAAGATGTTGTTTGGTCTCCTGCAGATACTTTGTGAGCTTCATTCTGCAGTTCCAGTTCCACAAGAAGCTGTGTCAGGCAGCCAATCAGAGTGGACCCCTGCACACATGTGACATCTACCAGTCCAAGGAGGCGGGAAAGATTTTAGAGTACGTGTTCTGTTATTGCCTCTCTTAGAACATTCATTACAGCCATATAAACTATGGTGTTACCTGATCAACTTAAGAGATGAGACACAAAATATATTGAATCTCAAATGACCCTAAGAAATAAGTTGATATTTTTTCAGATCTTAGACAGTAATTTAAACTGTGTGGTAGTTTCCCCTTACCTGAATCAATCATAAAACATTGTCCCTAGACTTGCTAAACCATGCAAAGCTACATTAGTAAATTAGGCTTAACACATTTCCCTATGTGGCCTCTGTTGACTTTGACAGAACAGTCCTTAAATCCGGAGAATCCAAGCCCTGGACACAGGTGCTCCAGGAAGCCGTCGGAACAAACAAGATGGACGCCAGCGCCCTGATGGAATACTTTAGTCCCATCATCACATGGCTAGAGGAACAGAATGCAGCGACGAATGAGACCATGGGCTGGCCTGACTTTAACTGGGTTCCACCCATACCAGAGGGCTACCCCGAGGATATTGGTAAGCCAGTAAACGGGTTTAACCAAAGGAGGAGGAGGATTTTTCAATAAAATAAACATGGAGAATTCCAAGAGTCAACCTTTAAATTTGGTGGAGGATCATCTTTCAATGTGATTTATATGGTTATTGATGATATAACTGATGACAAGTACACTATAATTAGCTTTTCAACATTTTGCATTGAAAGAAGTCCGCCCCTCCTACTTTTGGCAGATGGATAAAAAAAATTCCCCACTTGATTGATTGACTGATTCATTTTATTTGTCAGTAAAAACAAAAACATATATATACAGTATGTATATACACACAGTAAAATATCAAATTCAGTTTATAAGATTGTAGGACAAATTAAGGAAAATCTGGTCACCTGTCCTAATCTATAACCTTTTGTTATGTTTGGAGAAAAAAAATGTTTAGCTATTTATTTATACTATTTTATTTATTTGTGTAATAATTTTGTTTCTTATTTTTTATTACATTTTCCTTTTCTGACTAAGAACTGTGTTACAATCTATCTATACCATCTATCTATAATTCTAATATGAACACTTCATTGTTGGTGATGAATCTATTTTTGTTGTTGATTGATTCCACTTAAATTTGGATGAGATTGTAGGCAGTGCAATTATTATTGTGATTGTTGTAATCTTTATTACCAATGAAGTTGATAATGATAATCATTTTAGTTATTGGTTGGTGGGTATTTTTTCCATTGTTTGGACATTACATTTAGAACTCTCATTGTTACAATGTACATTGAAACGTCATGCTGAAAATCAATAAAAAGATTCTTCAAACAAATTCACTTCTCTCTTAAATCATGCATGGATGTCACTGGAAGATTCAAGCTAAACTCGCAGATTTTAAGTTAAAATCAAGCCACTGTCACATAGCCATGCAGCTTAAGCTATGAGAGCTATTCTGCCTTACCTGTACCTTTCTCTCTCTACCCAGACAAGATTGCAGATGAGGTGCAGGCGAAGAAGTTCCTGGAAGTGTACAACAGCACTGCGGAGGTGGTCTGGAATGCCTACACTGAAGCATCGTGGGCCTACAACACTGACATCAATGAGGAGAACAAGCAGAATATGGTAAGAGTTGGGTCTGGTGTCTGAATAGTAGGTTTTTGGTGTATCTGTACTTTACTGTACTATTTATCTTTTTGTCAACCTTTACTTTTACTTCACTACATTCCTAAAGAAAATAATGTACTTTTTACTCCATACATTTTCCCTGACACCCAAAAGTACTCTTAACATTTTGAATGCTTAGCAGGACAAGAAAATGGTCCAATTCATATGCTTATCAAGAGAACATCCCTGATCATCCCTACTGCCCCTGATCTGGCGGACTCACTAAACACAAATGCTTCGTTTGTAAATTATGTTTGAGTGATGGAGTGTGACCCTGGGTATCCCTAAATAAATAAAAAACAAGAATAGCGCCATATGGTTTTCTTAATATAAGGAATTTAAAATGATTTATACTTTTACTTTTGATACTTAAGTATGTTTTAGCAATTACATTTACTTTTGATACTTAAGTATATTTAAAACCAAATACTTTTAGACTTTTACTCAAGTAGTATTTTACTGGGTGACTATTAAGGTATCTTTACTTTTACTCAAGTATGACAATTGGGTACTTTTTCCACCACTGCTCACTCATACTGTACACATAGGCAATAGGCATTCACACAACTAACCCACAACTCAAAAACTACTCTCAGTATTCATGAACCAGGGTTTGGAGGAGCTACAGGATGAGCAGGCTTTTGTTCCAGCCCAGCACTAACACACGTGATTCTACTGCACATCCTGTAGCTTTTCTGGCCCATTTCTTGCACTTGGACAAATCAATGGACAGTTGTGACGAGTGAGTGTATTCTGTCTCCAGCTGCAAAAGAACTTGGACATGTCTGTCCACACGCTGACCTACGGAAAGGAGGCGCGCAAGTATGACACCACAGACTTTCAGGATGGTTCTGTGAAGCGTATCCTGAAGAAACTCAGTGACATCGAAAGAGCAGGACTTTCCAACGAGGAACTGAAAGAGGTAAGAATGGGTTGAGTGCTTTTATTGACCCAATACCTTCAAAATGATCCCCTGTTCACCCACAAAATCAAGGGCAAAATCACACAGTACGTTGACCTCAATTGTTAATTAAATTATTCCACAGCTATTTAACAGGTAGGACTATAAAAAATCTTAATGTCGCATGTTGTTGGTCATTGCTTTTTTCTTAGTACAACAACCTGCTGGCCAACATGGAGACCAAGTACAGTGTGGCTAAGGTGTGCAGAGCCAATGGGACCTGCCATCCACTAGACCCAGGTAAGATTCCACAATACACTTGCCCAATCACATGCTTGGTTCAGGGCCCTAAAACACTTACCTAATTAAAAGGTCCATCTATTGTCCATTTTACTAACTGGTTTGTATTATTAGTCCATGTGATATTTGTTTTACATCCAAGATATATATATACAAAAATATTATCAAGAGAAGATTTGACAAAAGAGGCGACAACTAACTCATAAGGAATTCCACTTTCCCAGGGGAGTACTACAGCAAAACCAGACAAATATGAAACTTCAAAGAGGTTTGTCTCAGAAATGGAGTCTTGATCTTGCAGTCTTGGTCTGGGTCTCAATACACTGGGTCTTGGTCCTGGTCTTGGCACCCAATATCTGGGTCGGGTCTTGTTCTCAGACAAGACTATCGTTTTTTAAAAGATACACACACTTTTTTAAATGGTTGGTCTGGGTTTTGTTTTTTCACATTTCTTGGTCTTGATCTCGTCATGGTCTTTCTACACTTGTTCTGGGTCTCAAGCGGTTGGATTTTTGTCTGGGTCTCCAGGGGTCTGATCTTGATTTGGGTCTCGAGAGTTCTGGTCTTGACTCCTTCTCTGGTTTGTGTCTTGCATCAGACCTCCAGCAGATCATGGCTGAGTCCAGAGACTACAATGAGCTGTTGTTTGCCTGGCAGGGCTGGAGAAACGCCTCTGGCAGAGAACTGCGACAGGACTTCAAGAGATATGTTCAACTGGCCAACAAAGCTGCCACTCTTAATGGTAAGGTCTTCAAAATAACAGACCCAAAGATATTTCTACAGAGGTTGGCAGTTGGAAGGTTTTCTAATTGGTTCAGGCAGGGTTCGAGTACTAACGTGAAAACAATAAGCAGCTTGTCGGCCTCCGCAATCTACTTATGTTCTATTCTGGCACTGAATTCTTCCTCACTCTAATGCTGTCTGTCCATAGGACACTCTGACAATGGGGCGTTCTGGCGCTCCCTGTACGAGACCCCCACATTCGAAGAGGACCTGGAGCGTCTGTGGAAGGAGTTGGAGCCCCTCTATCTCAACGTGCATGCCTACGTGCGCAGGTCTCTCTACAAAAAGTATGGGGGCAAACACATCAACGTCAGAGGGCCCATCCCTGCCCATCTTCTTGGTGAGACGCATCCAGAGTCAGAATCCAGCATGGATTCCAGCACTTAGGCCAAAACAATTTTTATGTATGACCATTGCACATTGATATTCTGCTGTTGTTTTGTGGATGTTCCTAAGGGAATCGTCTGGATTCCATTTGCTTTTAGCATGACATTGATTGTGACAGGTCCACCAGGCTATGGATTGCACTGGCTCTGAATCTAAATCCCACTGTTTTTAGCTCTGTCAGGGGTGCAAGGCTGGAAGATAGCTAATCCCTTTAACATTTGTTTAGTTATGGATAAAACAGCACAGCCATGTTTCTCTTGTCCTATCAGGTAACATGTGGGCGCAGACCTGGTCTGGCATCATGGACTTGGCCATTCCCTACCCCGATGCCACACAAGTAGATGCCACACCAGCCATGATAGCCAAGGTAACACATTTGACTACTACCAGTTTTTCTGTTTAACGGTTGGATATTATTGAGTTTCCATGTGACCTGACAAGGAAAACCTTATTGGGTTTTCCCAACTTTCCCCACAGGGCTGGAATGCCACCAGGATGTTCCAAGAGTCAGACAACTTCTTCACTTCTCTGGGGCTGCTGCCCATGCCTCCAGAGTTCTGGGCCAAGTCCATGCTGGAGAAACCCAAGGATGGACGCAATGTGGTGTGCCATGCCTCCGCCTGGGACTTCTACAACCGCAAAGACTTCAGGTACTTTGGAGGGATGTAGAGTCTGTAGCTTTCTTAGTACATTACAACGCCAGAAACTTTGTCAAGAGCTTTGGAACTCTTGTTGTTGTATTCCAACCCTTTCCACTTTCAAAGTGTGTTTGTGTTCCCCATGAAAACGTGTTTGTGTTATCCATGAAAAACAAAGATGACTGCCCTTTTTGGCCATTAAAATTATGAATTGATATGCTTAATTTCCAGGATCAAACAGTGCACCGTGATAACCATGGATGACCTCATCACCGTGCACCATGAGATGGGTCATGTGCAGTACTTCCTGCAGTACAAGGACCAGCCCATCTCCTTCCGTGAAGGCGCCAATCCAGGTTTCCACGAGGCCATCGGTGATGTGCTGGCCCTGTCCGTCGCCACTCCCAAGCATCTAAAGGAGATCGGTTTACTGGATGTCGTGGAGGACAACGCAGGTGAGCTCTTACTAATGAATAGTTTTGACTCTGCCCTGCTTTTTTCACTGTCATAAATATGAGAAAAATTAAGAAAAAGCATTTTTTGCAAGATACATTTTCAATTCATTACCAAGACCTTCTTCCAACCAGAAAAAATTGGTTATGTGATGACAGCATAGCTGCAGACAGAGCATCAATAAAATATAATATTTTAAAGCAATCTGTGTGGCGAACATAAATTAACTAGCTATAAGCTGTGATTGCACTGTGAATGTGCTATGCCACTCTAAACGTGAATGTGTCTGTTCATTTCCATAGAGAGTACGATCAATTACCTCATGAGCATCGCCCTGGACAAAATTGCCTTCCTGCCCTTTGGCTACCTGATGGACCAGTGGAGGTGGAAAGTGTTTGACGGACGCATCTCTGAGGAAGAGTACAACAAGGAATGGTGGAACATGAGGTAAAGACTATTACTTTTAGTGAATAACCTCCATCCTCCATTTTCTCATCTATCTAAAAGAAAGACGGAATCCTTTCTTTGTACTGTTTCTGTCCCTTCCAGAATGAAGTACCAGGGCTTGTGTCCACCTGTGGCCCGCACTGAGCAGGACTTTGACCCAGGTGCAAAGTTCCACATCCCAGCTAATGTGCCCTATGTCAGGTACGGTGTCTGCCATGGTGTCTGCCACATTTATTACTGTTCAACTAGGGTAGATATCTTAGGGTAGGTAAAGGAAAAGGAGATGAAATCAGTGGTACAATGTACATGCTGAAAACAATAGTGGGCCAAACATTCAACGTAAAGCTACCTAACTTCAATTTGATCACTTCTCTTTCTTGCTCATAAAACACAAGTAGGCCTACATTGCATGAAATTACATTCATACTGTATCTACCCATATGGAAGACGTTCATTCATAAAAAAAGGTTGTTTTGTATGTGAGATGCAGTTGGAACTTCATGTGACTGTGTGTCTTCCAATCAGGTACTTTGTGAGCTTCATCATCCAGTTCCAGTTCCATCAGGCTCTGTGTACGGCTGCCGGGCATGTAGGCCCTCTCCACGAATGTGATATCTACCGCTCCAAAGAGGCAGGGAAACTTCTAGGGTCAGTACTGTACACCCACAAACAAGTAGCATTATATCACCGTGACAGCACTGTCAATATTTTAATGTGATAGATAATGTTGTTTGCATGTAAAGTTGTTTGGAAGTTGTCGTTCAGGTATGTAGAATTGTTGTCTGAAACTATAGTAAAATAGACAGCCTTTCTGATCGACCCTTGGACTGTTTTATCCATTCCTTGTGTTTTGCAGTGACGTGATGAAAGTGGGTTTCAGTAAACCCTGGCCTGAAGCAATGGCCATGATCACTGGAAAGCCCATCATGTCTGCCAAGCCACTGGTAGAGTACTTCAAACCTCTCACTGACTGGCTGGAGGCAGAGAACAACAAGAACGGCGAGGTCAGAGGCTGGCCTGAATACGACTGGAAACCACCAAGTAAGTCTGATACCGGCTATAAACGCTATCTTCAACTACAATTCAACTTCATTCATTGAGGGCAAATGCACTTCATTACAAAATTACGAGTCAGGATTCAGACACCCGCATAACTGATGTTTTGGCCTGTCTGAGGTGGAACTGCGTTGGAGCTGTCAAATCGGTGAGCCGATGCTCTTGTGATCATTTGCACAAAGCCACACCCGTCCCACTCGCATTAGAAGTACAGAATGAGAAAGTGTAGTCTATATAAATATAATGAAGCTCAAATTGAAACTCATTTAACGAAATAATTAGGATTTCTATCAGCCTAATCGAGGTGTAGATTATGCTTGTGGATTTGACAGCTCTAATACAGTTCCACCTCGGAAACAGCCAAACAACCGCTATCAATCAATCAAATGTATTTACATCAGCAGATGTCACAAAGTGCTTATACAGAAACCCAGCCTAAAAGATGTAGAAGAACGGTGGCTCTGATAAAATTCCCTAGAAAGGCAGGAACCTAGGAAGAAACCTAGAGAGGACCAGGCTCTGAGGGGTGGCCAGTCCTCTTTTGGCTGTGCCGGTGGCAATTATAAGAGTACATGGCCGTTAAGGCTAGATCGTTCTTCAAGATGTTTAAACGTTCATAGATGACTAGCAGGGTCAAATAATAATTAGAGTGGTTATAGAGGGATCAACAGGTCAGCACCTCAGGAGTAAATGTCAGTTTGCTTTTCATAGAGAGAGAGAGAGAGAGAGAGAGAGAGAGGTCCAGGATAAGGTAGCAGCTCCGGTAAACAGGTCAGGATTCCATAGCCGCAGGCAGAACAGCAGAAACTGGATCAGCAGCACGACCAGATGGACTGGGGACGGGGACAGCCAGGAGTCGTCAGGCCAGGTATTCCTGAAGCATGGTCCTAGGGCTCAGGTCCTCCGGGAGGGGAGAGAGAGAAATGGGAGAATTAGAGGGAGCATACTTAAGATCACACAGGACACCAGATAGGAGAAATACACCACACTGACCCTAGCCCCCTGGCACAAAGACTATTGCAGCATAGATACAGGGGGGGTCGGGGGACACCGTGGTCCCGTCTGACACCCCCAGACAGGGCCAACCAGGCAGGATATAACCCACCAATTTGCCAAAGCACAGCCCCCACACCACCAGAGGGATATCAACAGACCACCATCTTACTACCCTGAGACAAGGCGGAGTATAGCCCACGAAGATCTCCCCCACCCCACGAGCCCAAGGGGGCGCAAGACCGGACAGGAAGATAACGTCAGTGACTCAACCCATTCAAGTCGAGTATAGCGAAAAAAGCCTGGCAAGGCGTGATGCACTCCTCCTAGGGACGGCATGGGAGAGCACTAGCAAGCCAGTGATTTAGCCTCCGTAATAGGGTCAGAAACAGAGAATCCCAGTGGAGAGAAGGCAGCCGGCCAGGCAGAGACAGCAAGAGGGGTTTGTCACATCACTGCCTTGCCGTTCACCTTTGCACGCCTGGGACGGACTACATTCAATCATATGACCTACTGAAGAGATGAGTCTTCAGTAAAGACTTAAAAGTTGAGACCGAGTCTGCGTCTCTCATATTGATCGGCAGACAATTTAATAAAAATGTAGCTCTATAAGAGAAAGCCCTGCCTCCAGCTTAGAAATTCTAGGAATAATAAGGAGACCTACGTCTTGTGACCGTAGTGTACGTGTAGGTATGTACGGCAGGACCAAATCGGAGAGATAAATAGAAGCAAGTCCATGTAATGCTTTGTAGGTTAGCAGTAAAACTAAAAAAATCAGCCCTAGCCTTAACAGGAAGCTAGTGTACTCCAGGCTAGCACTGGAGTAATATGATTGAATTTTGGGGTTCTAGTCAAGATTCTAACAGCTGTATTTAGCACTAGCTGAAGTTTTATTTAGTGCCTTATCCGGGTAGCCGGAGAGTAGAGCATTGCAGTAGGCTAATCTTGAAGTGACAAAAGCATGGATGAGCTTTTCTGCATCATTTTTAGACAAAAAGTTTCAGATTTTTGCAATGTTACAAAGATGAAAAAAAGCTGCTCTTGAAATATTTTTGATATGTTTGTCTCTTTGTTTCTTTGGACCTAGAACTAGGTCTGTGTCTGTTTTGTCAGAGTTTAAAATTATATATATATTGTGCTGCCATCCTCTTCCTTATGTCTGAAACTCAGGCTACCAGGGTAGGCAATTTTGGGGCTTCACCATGTTTCATCGAAATGTATAGCTGTGTGTCGTCTGCATAGCATTGAAAGTTGACATTGTGTTTCCGAATGACATCACCAAGAGGTAGCACATATAGTGAAAACAATAGTGGTCCTAAAACGGAACCTTGTGGAACACCGAAACTTACCATTGATTTGTGAGAGGACAAACCATCCACTGGACTCTGGAGCAGTGAAAATGCGTTCTCTGGAGTGATGAATCACGCTTCACCATCTGGCAGTCCGACAGACTAATCTTGGTTTGGTGGATCCCAGGAGAATGCTACCTGCCCGAATGCATAGTGCAAAGTTTGGTAAAGGAGGAATAATGGTCTGTGGCTGTTTTTCATGGTTCGGGCTAGGCCCCCACTGAAGAGAAATCTTAACACTACAGCATACAATGTCATTCTAGACGATTCTGTGCTTCCAACTTTGTGGCAACAGTTTGGGGAAGGCCCTTTCCTGTTTCAGCAAGACAATGCCCCCGTGCACAAAGCGAGGTCCATACATAAATGGTTTGTCGAGATCGGTGTGGAAGAATTTCACTGGCCTGCACAAAGCCCTGACCTCAACCACCGCTGACTGCGAGCCAGGCCTAATCGCCCTAATCAGTGCCCTACCTCACTAATGCTCTTGTGGCTGAATGGAAGCAAGTCCCCGCAGCAATGTTCCAACGTCTAGTGGAAAGCCTTCCCAGGAGAGTGGAGGCTGTTATAGCAGCAAGAGGGGACCAACTCCATATTAATGCCCATGAATTTGGAATGAGATGTTCGATAAGTAGGTGTCCACATACTTCTGGTCATGTAGTGTATCTTTCCGACAGATAAGATCTAAACCAGGCAAGAACTTGTCCGCATAGACCAATTTGGGTTTCCAATCTAAAATAATGTGTTGATCGTTAGTGTAAAAAGCGACACTAAGGTCTAGGAGCACAAGAACAGACTCAGAGCCTTGGTCTGACACCATTAAGATGTAATTTACCACCTTCACGAGTGCAGTCTCAGTACTATGATGGGGGTCTAAAACCAGACTGGAGCGTTTCATAGGCATTATTTGTCTTGAGGAAGGCAGTGAGTTGCTGAGAAACAGCTTTGTCAAAAACGTTTTAGAGGAATGGGAGATTCGATATAGGCTGATAGTTTTTAACATTTCCCAGGTCAAGGTTTTGCTTTTCAGGAGAGGCTTTATTACTGTCACTTTTAGTGAGTTTGGTACACATCCGGAGGATAGGGAGCCGTTTATTATGTTCAACATAGGAGGGCCAAGCACAGGAAGTAGCTCTTTCAGTAGCGCAGTTCAAATAGGGTCCAGTAGGACAACTGAGTTTTGGAGAAAAACGCATATTGAAAGAGGAGGCTGTAATTTGTTTTCTAATGATCCTGATCTTTTCGTTGAAGAAGTTCATGAATTCATCACTGCTGAAGTGAAGGCCATCCTCACTTGGGGAATGCTGCTTTTTTAGTTAGCTTTGCGACAGTATGAAAAATGAATGTTGATTGCTTTATTCTCCTCAATCAGGTTGGAAAAGTAGGCTGCTCGAGCAGCGGTGATGGCTTTTCAATATTGCACGGGTACTGTCTTTCCAAGCTATTCGGAAGACTTCCAATTTGGTGGAGTGCTATTTACGTTCACATTTTCTGGAAGCTTGTTTGAGGGCTCTGGAATTTTCTGTATACCAGGGAGCTAGTTTCTTGTGATAACTGTTTTTTGTTTTTAGCGGTGCGACTGCATCTAGGGTATTACGCAAAGTTCCGTTTACGTCATCGGTTAGGTGGTTAACTGATTTCTGTATTCCTAAGTCCTTGGGTAGGTGGAGGGAGTCTGGAATGACATCTAGGAATGCTATGTGGGTGTCGGATAGTGCAGATCTTTTAGAATCTAGCTCCCGAGTGGCGCAGTGGTCTAAGGCACTGCATCTCAGTGCTTGAGGCGTGACTACAGACCCCCTGGTTCGATTCCAGGCTGTATCACAACCGGCTGTGATTGGGAGTCCCATAGGGCGGCGCACAATTGGCCTGGGTTTGGCCGGTGTAAGAATTTGTTCTTAACTGACTTGCCTAGTTAAATAAAGGTAAATAAATAAAGCTCAATATTGCCATTACAGATGTAGGATCTTAATTAGAGCCTTTTTGCTTCAGAAGGAAAATAATCCTGCAGCAACAGGAAATGTGAATTGGATTATAATTAATATTCATTTTTTGTAGGGGTTGATACATTTTTTGTTGGGGCAAATCAAGTCTGACATTTTAAAGTGGAAATTACAAACTTTAGAAGCCTTTTTAAACCTCGAATACACTACAAGTCTACAAAAGAGTGATCAAATTAAGATCCTATATCTGTATGATAAGACGGAAATACACATTTCCTCAAATGAATGTTTTTTTTCCAACACATTTGAGCCACCAAAATTCCAATGTAAACTTGAAACCAATGCCTCTGCAGAGAGACAACTGTTGTCAGCGCTTAAGCGTTGATTTGAGTGGTTTTTTAGGCTCCTAGCAATGAAATCAATCCCTCCAATCTTTCATGTACTGATGAGTTCCTGCTGAAAGGAGGAGTTCGAGATTAGATAGAGATGGGAGACAGGACTCCATTGAGAGAAATCTTATAGGTGGAGAGAACAATGGAGAGCAATAGACTGGGATGTGGAAAATACTGAGGAAGAGAACATGATAGAGGGGAAAATGGAATGGGGTTAGAAAAGAGAAGGAGCACAGAAGTGAGAGACCAACAGTATGTTCTCAGACCCACTGACTGTACAACGCTTAAATGGAGGAAAGGATAAGAAAAATATACTCTTTCCTTTCTAATGATGCATTAAATAAGTTGTTCTGAGTTTTGACACTAGCAATCTTGAAAAGTAATGTAGGATCAGAGTGAGTATTTTCTAGCAAAGGCTATTGATGGGTGTGTGATGCCACAACTTGATTTGCATCACTCACCTCTGTGTGTGTTCCCAGGTGACGGCTCAGAAACGTCCCCTCCAGCCCCAACCCCAGGCCCAGACGAGGGTAAAGTGGACTTCCTAGGGATGAGTCTGGACGGTGCTGGAGCTGCAGCAGGCCAGTGGGTCCTACTAGTCCTGGGTCTGGTGCTCCTAGTGGCCACCATCCTCCTCGGCTACATGTACAAAAAATCTAAACGGAGAAATCTGTCCTCATCTGAGCTGGAGCTGAAGTGAGTCCGCACTTACGAGCCGTATAGGAAGATCCCCTTCACCTGGCAATAGCAGTGTCATCATGAGTGTTTGTTTGTACCGTGCATCCTGATTGGTTCATTTATTATTTTGGTATGCTTCTCCCCTAAATTTGATGTCTTGTATATTTATTGTATAAATTTGTTACAGTTTTGTAATTTATTTGTAATATTTTAAATGCTGAGCCTGGGGAACAGATGTTTCAACTAATTGCTTTTAAACGTCTTTAATTGTGTATACATTGTTTTTGGAATATTTGATTTGATCAGTGAATACTTTGCCTTTCTAGAATAAATTCATTGGTCAATGAGGTTCTGTGTGGCAAGATACGATGGATAAAAACAATTAATAACATATTAATGTAGTCAATCATGCAGGTAATAACAAGTAATATATTAAATCAAATAAGGGGTTATTTATTTTTATAGTACATCGAAACAGCACGATATAAAATGTCCACCATACAGAGAGGAGTTTGTGCACTATACATCCCCCTTCCTCCCCAGCCACTGTGTGAGTCAATGGAACCTCTGTAGCAACGACCACAGATGACTGGATAAAGAATCTCTTACCAGAATACCTCTGGTGTCTCAGGTGACGCCTACTGGAGTGGTTACACAACGTTCTGGATGCATACCAAATGGCACCCTATTCCCTATTCATTGCACTACTTTTGACCAGGGCTCATAGGGTTCTGGGCCCGGTTTCCCAAAAGCATTTTAAGATCAAGTTCATCGTTAGAACCTTCGTAGGTGCATCGTTAAATCTCCAAGCTGTTTCCCAAAACCATCTTTAGTAAAGTTGCACTTGAAAACGCTCATTATTTACCGACTGCCTCAGACCACTTGTAGAACTGCTAAGTCTTAGATTCAATCAGATCAAGCGTTAACCGGCGATAGCCGAAACCCGCATAACTGTTTTGGAGGTGTTGGAGGTATAACTGCTTTGGAACCTTGATCATTGTCATGAAGCCACACCAGGCCCACTTGCGTTAGAAGTTCAGAACGAGAAAGTGCAGGCTATATTTACATTTACATTTACATCATTTAGCAGACGCTCTTATCCAGAGCGACAAATTGGTGCATTCTACTTATGATAGCCAGTGAGACAACCACCTTTTTTTATGGAGGGTGGGGGAAGAAGGATTACTTTATACTAGTCCAGGTATTCCTTAAAGAGGTAGGGTTTCAAGTTTCGCTGGAAGGTGGACAGTGACTCCGCTGTCCTGGCGTCGTGGGGGAGCTTGTTCTACCATTGGGGTGCCAGAGCAGCGAATAGCTTTGACTGGGCTGAGCGGGAACTGTGCTTCCGTAGAGGTAGGGGGGCTAGCAGGCCAGAGGTGGATGAACGTAGTGCCCTCGTTTGGGTGTAGGGTCTATTCAGAGCCTGAAGGTAAGGAGGTGCCGTTCCCCTCACAGCTCCGTAGGCAAGCACCATGGTCTTGTAGTAGATGCGAGCCTCAACTGGAAGCCAGTGAAGTGTGCGGAGGAGCGGCGTGACATGAGAGAACTTGGGAAGGTTGAACACCAGACGGGCTGCAGCGTTCTGGATAAGTTGTAGGGGTTTAATGGCACAGGCAGGGAGCCCAGCCAACAGCGAGTTGCAGTAATCCAGACGGGAGATGACAAGTGCCTGGATTAGGACCTGTGCCGCTTTCTGTGTAAGGTAGGGTCGTACTCTGCGAATGTTGTAGAGCATGAACCTGCAGGATCGGGTCACCGCTTTGATGTTAGCGGAGAACGACAGGGTGTTGTCCAGGGTCACGCCAAGGTTCTTTGCACTCTGGGAGGAGGACACAATGGAGTGGATATACAGTACCAGTCAAAGGTTTGGACACACCTACTCATTCCAAGGTTTTTCTTTATTTTTACTATTTTCTACATTGTCGAATAATATTGAAGACATTTTTGCCTTGAAGACAGCTTTGCACACTCTTTGTATTCTCTCAATAATGATGCTCAAATTGAAAATCATTAAACAAAATAATTAGGATTTCTATCAGCCTAATCGAGGTGTAGATTACATTTTACATTCCAGTGTTCGAACTTGTAAACAAGGCATGGGATTTCTCTTAATGACACTCTGTGCAGCCAATTACAATGTCCTATTTAGGTATAATGCCCGGAGCCGCTTGTGGATTTGACAGCTCTAACACAGTTCCACCTCGACACTACAAAAACAACCGCTATGCAGATGTCGGCTAAGGCGGATCTGATTGTATAGAACTGATTGAATAGATATGCTTTCAAAGTGCGTCGTTGGATGCTTTTTTGCCCTTCCGCATCACTTTATACACAGAAGATCTCCGCTAAACATAGAATCAAGCTGTTTATCTCTGTGACAGCCAATAACTTCGGAACGAAGCTGACTACAATTATAAAGTTGCAATGTCTTTGCAATTGTTACAAACAAGTGAAGGTTAAAAACATGCTTCAAATGAACAGAGATGACTGCATTAAAATTCAATTCAGTAGGCCTATAGGCTAAACAGGGTATGGACATTTAAATAAATGTAATGTTCAGTCAATTGAGTTCTATTTTGCTAATTGTGGGCTACACTGTCAAATCTTTGCCTCAAGATACATTACATGACCGTCGAACATCTCATTCCAAAATCATGGGCATGAATATGGAGTTGGTCTCCCCTTTGCTGCTATAACAGCCTCCACTCTTCTGGGAAGGCTTTCCACTACATGTTGGAACATTGATGCAGGGACTTTCTTCCATTCAGCCACAATTTTGTTGTCCTCTGTAGCTCAATTGGTAGAGCATGGCGCTTGTAACGCCAGGCTAGTTGGTTCGATCCCCGGGACCACCCATATGTAAAAATGTATGCGCACATGACTGTAAGTCTACTCTGTTGACTGAGAACTGCTCTGTGGGAATTAGTTCTGCAGGTTGACCACAATGAGAAATGCTCTGCTGCCTTCCAAAACATTCCAAACATCTTCACTTGGAAATATGAAGCGTAGTAACGAACGCCGAAAGAAAACACACAAGTAAAATGAGACAATGTAAATGATTCAGGAGAAATGCAGTCATTCAAACAGTCGGTCATTTGCACACTAGGGCTCTATTCAATCCGTATCGCGGAAGTTCAGCGCTACAGTGTGATTGAAATTTAAAGGCAATGTTCCCGCGTTAGCGGAGACTGCATTCACAGTAAACGCTGCATATGTTCAATTGAAAATGACCTATCGCGCAATCTGTAACGCTTCAGCGATAAAGATTGAATCGAGTCCTAGGGCTTACTACTTACTACGAAAAAATGAAAACATCAAATCCCATCAATCACGCTCTGTAGCCTGTCTGTAGCCTGCCGATATTGCTGTCACGTACAGTAATCTCATGGCAGGCCACAGACCTAGAGTATACATTTCGTTCAGTGTTACGACTCCCTCTATATGATTACAACTAGAACAACAGCAACGAAGCTCTATTGTCATAACCACACGGTCCAGTGAAATAATAATTTAGGGACGCGTTCATCTTCTGTCAGCCATTCAGAATTCAAGTGCACTCCAACCATCCCATCCCACCACCAAATAGTCTAGTTCAAAAGATGGAGCATAAAAACAAGCAACTACTAGGCTATTCTATGTCTTCCTTCTGGAGTGCTTAGCGGTCATAGTGAGAAGTAGATATACAGAGGATAGATAGGGCAAGCAGGGTCACCTAAACTATACACTGCCATTTCATACCACTTCTTTCGCTACTCCTGTAATGTGCTTTCTATCCATCCAAGATCAACTGCAAATAACAGGGTCTTTAAACTTTAACTTGAAATCTCTACTTTTAACCCTGCAAATATACTCTCTTTCTAAAGCTGTGCAGATCAAATTAGCCTGTGTGCAGTGCACCAATATCTTACTGCTTGACCCTACACTGAAGGGTACTGCATGCAATCCACAGACATGTAAGTGTCAACACTGAATCCATCACTGTTGTTGTTGTTCTGTTATAACAAAGTCATCCTGGTAATCGATAAAGCTCTGCACAGTTTAAAATGATCTCCCAAACTACTGTTGTAGTGACATCATTGCTAAACCACTGACAATCAGTGACATTGTAAAACAAACAAGGACAAGTACATTTATAATCACTAAGATTTTTTACAGATTCTCTACAGACTAATTCACCTGATTAGAAAAAAAGGACAACTTTCCTCAGGAACATGCAAATAGATCATGTGGAACAAAAAAGATACATGAAAGGTCTGTTTCTTTTCAGTACTTACATATGAAGTGGTAGGAAAATAAATCAATTTACAACCAAACTGGGATTTTTTAGCACACCCCACCTACAATGTAAAACACAAAGGTAAGGGTTTCAGTAGAAGTAACGTTGCATCTCTGTCCAGTTGGTGATCCAGTACTTCTTGCCTGCATCCTCCGGCCGGAAGCCAATGTTGAACTGGTAGCGCTCCTCCTTACGGATTTTCACTCCATAGTACTTTGGCATAATCTGGTAGTAGATGGCCAGTTTGAAGAAGCCAAGTTGTTGGGAAGACAGACAACACATTAGGGAAAGCCATATTCAAATAGTGTTGATTTTTATATGTAACAATTGGAAAATCTGGAGGCTAAACTCAGGAATTAGACAGAATTAGACCATTTAGGTTAGTAGAAGAAATACAAATGTAGTTAAAGTACAATCTATCAGCCTGAAAAAGAAGGGCGACACAAAAGCTAATTAGAATTGAAGTGAAGAAAAATTAGTATGGAAGAAATCCAAATTCCCTTCTACACATTAATTGCCTATAACCAACTACATCCCACAATCTACAAGGCGTTACGTCTAGTGTGCCCGAAGCTGCCAGTGGCGGAGGCCGAAGGACTGCATTACCCAGGAGCCCTTGTGGAGTATAGGATGGTCCCTCAGTGGAGGCCTCTCCTGTCTCAGTAGTCCTCAGTCAGCCTCTTCGTCTCTGAGGGCTGGATCTTCATCTCAGCCTTCTGGGCCTTGGCCTCGTACATCTCCCCCCTGCTGGCCCTCCTGAAGAAGCCACACTGGGGGACCATGAGATACAGTTCACTGGAGCTACATGGAGAAGCTAACGGCTAGCAAGCTAGTGCTATTGACTTTAATGGGGCAGCACATACATACTGTAGGCTATTTGATAGCAGTATCATGCTAAAACTAGCCAACTAGCGCAATTGAGTTTAATGGAGTATCACTGATAGGTACAGTACAACAACATATTTGATAAAAACACAGTCGATATGAAAAGGCACTCACACATGTAGGCTACATAGAATAATTTTAACCCCTGGTGCATTGGGGTAGACGGGATACTATTGCATGCAAGCAGTGTGCAAGAGACATATCATAACAGTTATACATTCAAACATGATAACCAAAAATAATACAAATACAGGATGAGTATAGATGGGTTAGCTGATAACATCACGAAAACAATGTGCACGCCTTAATGGGGCAGAAGTCTGTGAGTTGTTGTGATTCTGGATGGCCAGATGGCTAGCAACAATGACAAGAAACTGCCATGTTGGGAATCCTAAGTGGCTCGTTTCAGCTAGTTTCATCTTGTCTTTTTCATGCCAATGCTAATATGGCAAAAATGTGCTAGCTATGTAACCAACAACTGTAACGATGTATTTGAGAGACAACAAGTGCTCATTGTGCAAATGTATTTATGTTTTCAATATAACTTCCATGCTGTCAACATTCTAAGCCAACCCTGTCTGTTTTGCCCCATAGTTGCCACGCGTCGGTTTTGTTTCTAAACAACCAACCAGTCTATACAGTAGGTATTGATCTAAAAGTAGTCCTTAGGGTTCTCACCTTCCATAGAATGATGCTGATGACTCCTAACAGTAGGATCCTTGCTACCGCGGATCCAAAGCGGACACTCGTAAGGCGTCTCCTCTCCAAGGACTGGGTCAATGTCTACTACGAACTGAAGGATTGGAAATGAAAGAGAAGAGGATGGAGTGAGTGAGTGAGTGAGTAAGTGAGTGAGTGAGATAGAGATATAGAGAGATAGAGAGAGAGAGATGGAGAGAGAGAGAGAGAGAGAGAGAGAGAGAGAGGTCAGAGAGAGAGAGAGAGAGAGAGAGAGAGAGGGGCGTGGAGAAGAATAGCATGAGCAATATCCATATAATCCATACCATTTGTCTACATATCATCATCAACATCAACCATTATCATCAAGACACTAACCTCTCTGGTCTCACTTTCCATCTTGATGGTGGGGTTGTCCGTCACCAGTTTCATTGTGGCCTGACCTCTAACCTTGATCCTCAAAGCATTGTTGTAGTCCTGCTTTAACCTCTGACCTCTGACCTCTAGCATAGTGCTGTTCCATACCCGTGACCTCACAATGATCTTGGCAGAGGTAGACATGTTGATCAAGGGACAAGTGAACGTCACACAGCGGGCCGTCCATTTTGAACATTCCTTCACAACACAGACAAGTCAAGAATTAGGACCAGACACTCTAGCCGCTCCATAATTGAAGTGAAAGCTCACCAACGTTGTGTCTACAACCTCTAATTGACCATACATCTGTCTAGATATGATGTTATATTCAGTATCTGAATTAATAGATCATGGACTAATGGTTAATTATTCAAATAGCCTGTCCTCACCAGTAGATAGGTTTCTTTATGATGAGGTAGCAAAGTAATGGCTGCCTGAGGCTCGATGATATGTAGGTGTTCACCCTCCAGCCCTCTTTTGGGACGCTTGCTCCTGTTCTCGGACAACTGGAGAGAGAGAGAGACAGACAGGAGCGGAAGAGAGGAGGAGAAAGAGAGAGAAAAAGGGAGTAGAGGAAGAGACAAAAAGGAGAGGAGGTAGGGAAGCAGGGGGAGAGACAAGAAGGGGAGGAGACAGACAAAGAACCACATTGCATCACATAATTACTGGTATGAAAATAAAGAGAACTCCTACTAACTTCCCAAAATATCATTGACCTTTTCAGTCTATCTTTGTGCAGACATAATTAATATTTAGCCGATTTGACCAAGTCTGGTTTCATTGGGTGTTTCGTTCCAAATAGTGTTCCTTATTCCAAATATTGGTGATTAACTGTGGGTGTAAACAGAGATTATGTTAGAAGCAGTTAAAATGCCCCAACCCCCCCCCCCCCCCATTAAAAAATGAAATAAAATAAAAACATTGCGAGACTGTTATTTTGACAAACAAGTCACCAGATTAGTTGAAGGACCTTTTTTTTTTTTTAAGACCTCCGCTGCTGGAACGTGTGTCCCTTCCCCCGCCCCCACTGACAGCTTTGTTCTCACTCTTGGTTGTTACAAGCAGCGTGGCAGTGTGTGAGTGAAAAGGAAAGCTCTGTGCAGCACTACCATCATTACTCACCGTACCAGGGAAAGTACAGTGGCTTGCGAAAGTATTCACCCCCCTTGGCATTTTTCCTATTTTGTTGCCTGGAATTACAATGGATTTTGGGGAGGTTTGTATCATTTGATTTACACAGCATGTCTACCACTTTGAAGATGCCATTTCTTTTTTTTGTGAAACAAACAAGAAATAAGACAGAAAAACTGAAAACTTGAGTGTGCATAACTATTCACCCCCCCAAAGTCAATACTTTGTAGAGCCACCTTTTGCAGCAACTACAGCTGCAAGTCTCTTGGGGTATGTCTCTATAAGCTTGGCACATCTAGCCACTGGGATTTTTGCCCATTCTTCAAGGCAAAACTGCTCCAGCTCTTTTCAAGTTGGATGGGTTCCGCTGGTGTACAGCAATCTTTAAGTCATACCACAGATTCTCAATTGGATTGAGGTCTGGGCTTTGACTAGGCCATTCCAAGACATTTAAATGTTTCCCCTTAAACCACTTGAGTGTTGCTTTAGCAGTATGCTTAGGGTCATTGTCCTGCTGGAAGGTGAACCTCCGTCCCAGTCTCAAATCTCTGGAAGACTGAAACAGGTTTCCCTCAAGAATGTATTTAGCGCCATCCATCATTCCCCAATCTGACCAGTTTCCCAGTCCCTGCCGATGAAAAACATCCCCACAGCATGATGCTGCCACCATCATGCTTCACTGTGGGGATGGTGTTCTCGGGGTGATGAGAGGTGTTGGGTTTGCAACAGACATAGCGTTTTCCTTGATGGCCAAAAGCTCAATTTTATTCTCATCTGACCAGATTACCTTCTTCCATATGTTTGGGGAGTCTCCCACATGCCTTTTGGCGAACACCAAACATGTTTGCTTATTTTTTTCTTTAAGGTTTTTTTTCTGCCCACTCTTCCGTAAAGCCCAGCTCTGTGGAGTGTACGGCATAAAGTGGTCCTATGGACAGATACTACAATCTCCACTGTGGAGCTTTGCAGCTCCTTCAGGGTTATCTTTGGTCTCTTTGTTGCCTCTCTGATTAATGCCCTCCTTGCTTGGTCCGTGAGTTTTGGTGGGCGGCCCTCTCTTGGCAGGTTTGTTGTGGTGCCATATTCTTTCCATTTTTTAATAATGGATTTAATGGTGCTCCGTGGGATGTTCAAAGTTTCGGATATTTTTTTATAACCCAACCCTGATCTGTACTTCTCCACACCTTTGTCCCTGACCTATTTGGAGAGCTCCTTGGTCTTCATCGTGCGCTTGCTTGGTGGTGCCCCTTGCTTAGTGGTGTTGCAGACTTTGGGGCCTTTCAGATCAGGTGTATCTATACTGAGATCATGTGACAGATCATGTGACACTTAGATTGCACACAGGTGGACTTTATTTAACTAATTATGTGACTTCTGAAGGTAATTGGTTGCACCAGATCTTATTTAGGGGCTTCATAGCAAAGGGGGTGAATACATATGCACGCACCACTTTTCCGTTATTTATTTTTTTGAAACAAGTAATTTTTTTCATTTCACTTCACCAATTTGGACTATTTTGTGTATGTCCATTACATGAAATCCAAATAAAAATCCATTTAAATTACAGGTTGTAATGCAACAAAATAGGAAAAACGCCAAGGGGGATTAATACCTGAATAAGTCACTGAATTAAAGTCACTGAAATTGTTGTTTGCAACAAAAAAGTACATTTAAGTAAAAAGTGTATGAATGTGACTTAACTTTGATATGTTAACGAACGTGAGCAACTATAAGCTTTCTCCTGGCTAGTAGCTAGTTAGCTTTACATGTACATTTGTAGTTTTGTAATTTTTTGCTGTGTCAGGTTATATCTAACTAGCTAACACTGGGTAGTTCTGGCTGTGTGAAAAACCTATGGTGAATGTTTTGAAGCCAATAATACTTGCTAGCTACATAATTACTTGCACAATCACTGGTCTTAGTCTTCATTATAGGGTCAGCAAGTTAGCAATGGATGTGCCACCAGTCAAGAAAATAAATAAAACACACTACCCCTGGCAAACTAGCTGGACAAATTTTGCGCTTTCAGCTTAGATGTCTTTAAATTCATCACAGTGATTATGGGTCATGAAGGTGTGTTACATGTTTCTATGTATGTCATTCAAATGGTAAGGGGCAACTCGCATGCAGCTTGTTATGTTGAATCCAGTACCGTATATTAAATACATGTATCAACTCTCCATCTAAGTGTTAAATATATTTTTGCATGTTGAATTATCTGATACCAGAGAAACTCATCATCACTGTGTTACTTGAGCAATCAGCATGCCTTTCCTACAAAATGTACAGACGTTACACTCTACAGTGCATTTGGAAAGTATTCAGACCCCTTCCCTTTTTCCACATTTTGTTACATTACAGCCTTATTCTAAAATTGATTCAATCCTCATCAATCTAAATACAATACCCCATAATGACAAAGCGAAAACAATTTATTTGAAATTTTTGCAAATGTATAAAAATAAAAAACAGAAATACCATATTTATAAAAGTATTTAGAACCTTTGCTATGAGACTCGAAATTGAGATTAGGTGCATCCTGTTTCCATTGATCATCCTTGAGATGTTGCTACAACTTGATTGGAGTCCACCTGTAGTAAATTCAACTGATTGGACATGATTTGGAAAGGCACACCTGTCTATATAAGGTCCCACAGTTGACAGTGCACATCAGAGCAAAAACCAAGCCATGAGGTCGTAGGAATTGTTCATAGAGCTCCGAGACAGGATTGTGTCGAGGCACAGATCTGGGGAAGGGTACATAAAAATGTCTGCAGCATTGTAGGTCCCCAAGAACACAGTGGCCTCCATCATTCTTAAATGGAAGAAGTTTGGAACCACCAAAACTCTTCCTAGAGTTGGCCGCCAAGCCAAACTGAGCAATCGGGGTAGAAGGGCCTTGGTCAGGGAGGTGACCAAGAATCCGATGGTCACTCTGACAGAGCTTCAGACTTCCTCTGTGGAGATGGAAGAAACTTCCAGAAGGACAACCATCTCTGCAGCACTCCACCAATCAGGCCTTTATGGTAGATTAGCCAAACGGATGCCACTCCTCAGTAAAAGGCACATGACATCCCGCTTGGAGTTTGCCAAAAGGCACCTAAAGGACTCTCAGACCATGAGAAACAAGATTCTCTGGTCTGATGAAACCAATTTTGAACTCTTTGGCCTGAACGCAAAGTGTCACGTCTGGAGTAAACCTGGTACCATCCCTACGGTGAAGCATGGTGGTGGCAGCATCATGCTGTGGGGATGTTTTTCAGAGGCAGGGACTGGGAGACTAGTCAGGATTGAGGGAAAGATTAACGGAGCAAACTACAGAGAGATCCTTGATGAAAACCTGCTCCAGAGTGCTCAGGACCTCAGACTGGGGCGAAGGTTCACCTTCCAACAGGACAATGACCCTAAGCACACAGCCAAGACAACGCTGGAGTGGCTTCGGGAAAAAGCCTCTGATTGTCCTTGAGTGACCCAGCCAGTGCCCGGACTTGAACCCGATCTAACATCTCTAGAGAGACCTGAAAATAGCTGTGCAGCGACGCTCCCTATCCAACCTGACAGAGCTTGAGAGAATCTGCAGAGAAGAATGGTAGAAAACTCCCCAAATACAGGTGTGCCAAGCTTGTAGCGTCATACCAAAGAAGACTCGAGGCTGTAATCGCTGCCAAAGGTGCTTCAACAAAGTACTAAGTAAATACTTATGTAAATGTGATCTGTTTTTTATTTTTATACATTTGCTAAAAAATCTAAAAACCTGTTTTTTCATTGTCATTATGGGGTATTGTGTGTAGATTGATCAGTGGCAAAAAAAGATGTCATCAATTTTAGAATAAGGCTGTAACATAACAAAATGTGGAAAAAGTCCAGGGGTCTGAATACTTTCCGAATGCACAGCTATTTTCAATCTCATTCTTAATTCATTTGATGGATAAATATAATTTAGAATTTTAAAATGGTTCTATTTGGCCTTGGGTGGTATAGGGAAAGACATAAATGTCTTCTTATTTTCTTGGTTACAGCTACATCAACAATTTTACAGATTTAATTCCTTTTTAACTGTTCTGGGAATAATTATTTGGAAATAACTTGCCTGACATTTTTATTGTTACACTCCTTATCCTGCAAACAACAGCCATCTACACTACCGGTTAAAAGTTTAGAACACCTACTCATTCAAGGGTTTTTCTTTATTTTTACTATTTTCTACATTGTAGAAAATAGTGAAGACATCATAACTATGAAATAACACATATGGAATCATGTAGTAACCAAAAAAGTGTTAAACAAATGAAAATATATTTTATACTTGAGATTCTTCAAATAGCCACCCTTTGCCTTGATGACAGCTTTGCACACTCTTGGCATTCTCTCATCTAGCTTCACCTGGAATGCTTTTCCAACAGTCTTGAAGGAGTTCCCACATATGCTGAGCACTTGTTGGCTGCTTTTCCTTCACTCTGCGGTCCGACTCATCCCAAACCATCTCAATTTGGTTGAGGTCGGGGGATTGTGGAGGCCAGGTCATCTGATGCAGCACTCCATCACTCTCCTTCTTGGTCAAATAGCCCTTACACAGCCTGGAGGTGTGTTGGGTCATTGTCCTGTTGAAAAACAAATGATAGTCCCACTAAGCCCAAATCAGATGGGATGGGGTATTGAAACTACTGAACACTGTGATCATATTTCCACTTTCTGGGTGGAGTTTCATGATTTATTATTTGAAATAATGTTAATATTATATTGATGTCAAATTTGGTTTATATAAGTATACAGACCTTTTACAGCCTTAAGTCTTCTTGGGTATGACGCTACAAGCTTGGGACACATGTATTTGAGGAGTTTCTCACATTCTTCTCTACAGATCCTCTCAAGCTCTGTCAGGTTGGATGGGGAGCATCGCTGCACAGCTATTTTCAGGTCTCTCCAGAGATGTTAGATCGGGTTCAAGTCCGGGCTCTGGCTGGGCCACTCAAGGACATTCAAAGACTTGTCCTGAAGCCACTCCTGCGTTGTCCTGGCTGTGTGCTTAGGGTCATTGTCCTGTTGGAAGGTGAACCTTCGGCTCAGTCTGAGGTCCTGAGCGCTCTGGAGCAGGTTTCTCTCTGTACTTTGCTCTGTTCATCTTTCCCTTGATCCTGACTAGTCTCCCTGCTGCTAAAGAACATCCCCACAGCATGATGCTGCCACCACCATGTTTCACCATAGGGATGGTATTGGCCAGATGATGAGCTGTGCCTGGTTTCCTCCAGACGTGACCCTTGGCATTCAGGCCAAAGAGTTCAATCTTGGTTTCATCACACCAGAGAATGTTGTTTCTCATGGTCTGAGAGTCCTTTAGGTGCCTTTTGGCAAACTCCAAGCAGGAGTGGCCACTCTACAATAAAGGCCTGATTGGTGGAGTGCTGCAGAGATGGTTGTCCTTTTGGAAGCTTCTCCCATCACCACAGAGGAACTCTAGAGCTCTGTCAGATTTTGCTCTGACATGCATTGTCAACTGTGGGACCCTACATAGACAGGTGTGTGCCTTTCCAAATCATGTCCAATCAATAGAATTTACCACAGGTGGACTCCAATCAAGTTGTAGCAACATCTCAAGGATGATCAATGGAAACAGGATGCACCTGAACTCAACTGGTTTGAATGCTTATGTAAATAAGGTATTTCAGTTTTTAATTTTTTATACATTTGCAAAAAATTCTAAAAACCTGTTTCGCTTTGTCATTATGGGGTATTGTGTGTAGATTGATGAGGGAAAATAATTTAATCAATTTTAGAAAAAGGCTGTAACGTAACAAAATGTGGAAAAAGTGAAGGGGTCTGAGTACTTTCCGAATGCAATATATGTTTGTACAATTTGGAAAGTTTAATTAAAAAGTCAGCACGCTGTCTTTTACGATGATGCATTTAAACCCTGGATAGCTTATGCTATGTATTGGCCACCGGCCAATTGGTGAGAGGCTTTGAAGCCACCGGCCTGCCATATTGGCACACCAGTCCTCCATAAATGTTTCAAGGACAAAATTACATCTATTTAAGTATGTTTTGTTGTAGTGGGGACAGTAACATTAGTAATCTAAACAAATTATACTTTAAGGAAAATGTTTTTTTGTGCGTTTTTTTTATGTTTATCTCACATAATATAATTTAAAAGTTTGCATTAAGGTGTCTGTAATAAATAAAATGTGTCAAAAATGAATGTAGACAATAATAAATGCATTTCTATAAATGTGTCAAAATGAATGTAGATATTAATAAATGCATTTCTATAGATGGGTTAGCTTACAAACGTCACGAAAATGGCGTGTGCGTTTCCATGGGGCAGAATTCAGCGTGTTGTTGTGTTTCTGGATGGCCAGATTGCTAGCAAGAATGACAAGAAACTGCCATGTGGGGAATCGCATGTGTCTCGTTTCAGTTAGTTTCATCTGGTTATTGATACATTTACATTACATTTACGTCATTTAGCAGACGCTCTTATCCAGAGCGACTTACAAATTGGATGCTGTTTTGGATGAAACCATGTCTTGTTTTGAGGTGTTTTTACTAATTTCATGTCAATGCTAATATGGCAAAAAAAATCGCTAGATATCTTGTTATTATATCCATAATCTTTGGTTCTAGTGCCCTGTTCAGCAGGAGGACGGACATAACGTTGGGCAACGTTCAGATAGAAATGTATTATGTATAACAAACATGCCTCTCTGATTCTAAGGAAACATGTCAGTTCAATTCATGGCATTTCTATGAACCACATGCCCAGGCGAACCCGCTGATGCTCCCTTTGGTGACAATCTCAGTCAGGTAGAGAAGCCACTTCCCATTGGTCACCTCGAAGGGCCACTCAAACTCCATGACCAGGGTCCCCAGTGCACCCAGAGGCTCTCCCTCCACTGACACCTGGTGGTAGAATGGTGTTATCACAGTCACCACAGGAAAGACACATGGCAACAGAACGGATATAGATATAAAAATGACAATGTATACAGAGCTGACGGGATTCCGCATTCTGTGTGACAACAAAGCATGTCTGTTCTACATAAATAATGTATATCTAAATGTTCTGTAATGTGATCTATTTTATTTGGGGTCTCTTCCCCCACAACATCACAAGAAGAAGCAGTGTGGTGTTTATAGTAATATTAACCACACATTATTATTTTTTTTGTGCCAACACCTAGCTACATCTAGCTCACCCACAGGACTTCAGACAACTGGCAAAATATTTCCAGCACACATTACTTTCACAAAACTGTTCAGCCTACAATTACAGGTCAGAGTTAACGGGAAACATCACTCACTAGCCCACAACATGGCTGACATTAGCTAAGTGTTGGTGTCTCACGTTGAAGGTGTATTCCACCAGACTGCCCACATCACTGGTGGTGTTCATAGCAGACTCTCCCGTCACCTCCCTGCTGAAGTAGGTCTGGACCAGGGGCTTCTCTCTGTTTAGAGAGGGGGAGGAAGAAGAAGAAGGAGGAGGATGACAATGGAAGTTAGAGTATTATACAGGCTCTTAGCATTGCATCACGACAACATGGAGTATGTGTCTGAAGTTACACTTACATGGAAATGGAAGTCTGGATGGAGTTCTCTATCAGCAGGACCACAAGCACAGAGTACAGGTCATTCTGCTCACTTAACCTTGGGAAACAACACCAACATAAGTGTTTATTTGGCTAGTTTATTTACCCAATTATATTCATATTCCCCCCTTGGACATAAAGACTGACTGTTGTAAATGAGATAATGAGATAATGATGTAGAGCGACGACAAATATCTCCTGTTACTTATGTAGACAACAGTAACTGAGACTCAATCTCCCTGGTGTTCAGGTTGATTCCTGATGTTTCAAAGATGAGCTGCAGAGAGACCTGCAAACCATGGGAGGGTCGTGAGATTTTAACTATCACAAATCTACATTAAAATAGGGTTTGGCCCTCCTGTAGCTCAGTTGGTAGAGCATGGTGCTTGCAACGCAAGGGTTGTGGGTTTGATTCCCACGGGGGGCCAGTATGAAAAATGTATGCACTCACTAATTGTAAGTCGCTCTGGATAAGAGCGTCTGCTAAATGACTAAAATGTCAATTGGATCACAAAAAAATACAACTTAGTGGTTAAGAGCGTTGTGCCAGTAACCGAAGGTCGCTGATCCTGAGCCGACTAGGTGAAAAATCTGTCGATGTGCCCTTGAGCAAGGCACTTAACCCTAATTGCTCCTGTAAGTCGCTCTGGATAAGAGCGTCTGCTAAATGACTAAAATGTAAAACCAATGATGTGATATACTGTATAATCTCTATGGGTAAAAACAGTATGGCCTTACCATCTCATTGCTCCACAGTGGATTCCCCAGCTCACACATAACAGTCTTCTCAGCACTACATTCCATGTCAGGATCCTACAAATAAATACACATAATCAATCAAATGTATTTTATAAAGCACCTTTTACATTAGCAGTTGTCACAAAGTGCTATTCCGATACCCAGCCTAAAACCCCAAAGAGCAAGCAATGCAGATGCAGAAGCCACAGTGGCTAGGACAAACTCCCTAGAAAGGCAGAAACCTAGAGAGGCTCCGAGGGGTGGTCAGTCCTCTTCTGGCTGTCCGAGGTGGAGATTAAAAGAGTACATGGCCATTTATGCCAGATCGTTCTTCAAGACGTTCAAACTATCATAGATGACCAGCAGGGTGTAGTAATAACCACAGTGATTATAGAGGGTGCAACAGTTGAACACCTCAGGAGTAAATGTCAGTTGGCATTATGACACTATTACCTGTATGTACAGAACATAGTTGACAGAGCAATTAAAGGCAATGGACCTGTTAATAGTCAGACTTTACCTAACCCTTTATCACCCTCTGGTGGATTTACCTGGGAGCGCACACCAGAGTATCTGAGAGTGGAGGGGATGAAGATGTTGAGCATGGCTTGGTGGGCGTCCTCAGCTACCTTCCCAGGGCCAGGCAGGTTAGCTACCTCCACTAGTAGCATCACCTTCTTCACATTACTTCTGTACTGTAGCAATTGGTGGTTCCCCTGACTGCGTACAAACAGAGCAGCACAGTTAATGTATAAGGGACCATGGACAGAATATTGCACCAGAGGGAGAACGTGTGAATCTGAAGCACTGGGGTCCAAACCCATTTTTGGTGGGGACCTACATGATTTGATAGAGTTGTGGTTTGATCAAGGAGTGCAAGGTCTCTAACATCCACCAGCTCCGTGATGTCGTCTTGGAGGAGTGGAAGAGGACTCCAGTGGCAACCTGTGAAGCTCTGGTGAACTCCATGCCCAAGAGGGTTAAGGCAGTGCTGGAAAATGATGGTGGCCACACAAAATATTGACACTTTGGGCCCAATTTGGACATTTTCACTTTGGGGTGTACTCACTTTTGTTGCCAGCGATTTAGACATTAATGGCTGTGTGTTGTGTTATTTTGAGGGGACAGCAAATGTACACTGTTATACAAGCTGTACACTCACTACTTCACATTGTAGCAAAGTGTCATTTCTTCAGTGATGTCACATGAAAAGATATTCTCAAATATTTACAAAAATGTGAGGGGTGTACTCACTTTTGTGAGATACTGTGTGTGTGTGTATATATATATATATATATATATATATATATATATATATATATATATATATATATATTCACCATTGATATAGATAGCTTATACACCAATATCAACACAGTAGTAGGGATAGAGGCAGTTAGAACACTTTTCAATAGGTTTCCAGATAGGGATAGACCGGACAACGACATATTAGAACTATTAGAGATCAGCCTGACAAGCAATGACTTCATGTTTAATGGTAGGCACTACTTACAGGTGGAGGGAACAACTATGGGTAAGAAATGTACACCTGCATATGCAAACATTTACATGGCTGAATGGGAGAGAGAGGTACTGGCAAAGTGGCCGTTCCAACCCACCTTCTATTTTAGACGACATCATAGGAGCTTGGCCCCATGACATCACACGTTTCACAGATTTCATTAATATTCTCAATAATCACCATGCATCAACCATACATCAATTCAAGTTAAATACACAATAGATTACAACATATAGTTCTTAGAGTAACATTAATTTTCAATGTATTCAGACTGACCATCTGCCCGATACCACATGAATTAAATACATTTGAAGTCGGAAGTTTACATACACTTAGGTTGGAGTCATTAAAACTCATTTTTCAACCACTCCACAAATTTCTTGTTAACAAACTATAGTTTTGGCAAGTCGGTTAGGACATCTACTTTGTGCATGACACAAGTCATTTTTCCAACAATTGTTTACAGACAGATTATTGAACTTATAATTCACTGTATCACAATTCCAGTGGGTCAGAAGTTTACATACACTAAGTTGACTGTGCCTTTAAACAGCTTGGAAAATTCCATGGCTTTAGAAGCTTCTGATAGGCTAATTGACATCATTTGAGTCAATTGGAGGTGTACCTGTGGATGTATTTCAAGGCCTACCTTCAAACTCAGTGCCTCTTTGCTTGACATCATGGGAAAATCAAAAGAAATCAGCCAAGACCTCAGAAAAAAAATTGTAGACCTCCACAAGTCTGGTTCATCCATGGGAGCAATTTCCAAACACCTGAAGGTACCATGTTCATCTGTACAAACAATAGTATGCAAGTATAAACACCATGGGACCATGCAGCTGTCATACCGCTCAGGAAGGAGATGCGTTCTGTCATTAGAGATGAACGTACTTTGGTGCGAAAAGTGTAAATCAATCCCAGAACAACAGCAAAGGACCTTGTGAAGATGCTGGAGGAAACAGGTACAAAAATATCTATATCCACAGTGAAACTAGTCCTATATCGACATAACCTGAAAGGCCGCTCAGCAAGGAAGAAGCCACTGCTCCAAAACCGCCATAAAATAGCCAGACTACGGTTTGCAACTGCACATGGGGACAAAGATTGTACTTTTTGGAGAAATGTCCTCTGGTATGATGAAACAAAAATAGAACTGTTTGGCCATAATGACCATCGTTATGTTTGGAGGAAAAAGGGGGAACTTGCAAGCTGAAGAACACCATCCCAACCATAAAGCACGGGGGTGGCAGCATCATGCTGTGGGGGTGCTTTGCTGCAGGAGGGTCTGGTGCACTTCACAAAATAGATGGCATCATGAGGAAGGAAAATTATGTGGATATATTGAAGCAACATCTCAAGACATCAGTCAGGAAGTTAAAGCTTGGTCGCAAATGGGTCTTCCAAATGGACAATGACCCCAAGCATACTTCCAAAGTTGTGGCAAAATGGCTTAAGGACAACAAAGTCAAGGTATTGGAGTGGCCATCACAAAGCCCTGACCTCAATCCTATAGAACATTTGTGGGCAGAACTGAAAATGCGTGTGCGAGCAAGGAGGCCTACAAACCTGACTCAGTTACACCAGCTCTGTCAGGAGGAATGGGCCAAAATTCACCCAATTTATTGTGGGAAGCTTGTGGAAGGCTGCCCAAAACATTTGACCCAAGTTAAAAAATGTAAAGACAATGCTACCAAATACTAATTGAGTGTATGTAAACTTCTAAACCACTGGGAATGTGATGAAAGAAATAAAAGCTGAAATAAATCATTTTCTCTACTACTATTCTGACATTTCACATTCTTAAAATAAAGTGGTGATCCTAACTGACCTAAGAAAGGGCATTTTTACTAGGATTAAATGTCAGGAATTGTGAAAAACTGAGTTTAAATGTATTTGGCTAAGGTGTATGTAAACTTCCGACTTCAACTGTATCTTCCTCTGTGTTTTCCACATACCTGGAGTAAGGCTTCAGTCTCTCGTTAGCAAACTTAGCTGTTAGCTGCAGGTTACTAGTGCACTTGTTGTCTGAGCCACACTCCTTCTGGAAGTTCATCTGCAAAAAAGGGGAAGAAAGAGTTTGAAAACATACTCATCACTACATACTCAATGGAATCAGGTTATTCATAAATCAGTAACATACCTTTTTCCTTGCAGTGACTTTCTGTTTGTGGGTCAATACAGGGTAGGAGTCCAGGTTCTGCAGGGCCTTCCTGACTTTGGGTTTCTGTTCATCCAGGGACACATTGAGGGAGAAAACCACCGGCTCCAGCATGTCCCTCACATAATCCTGGAGAAGATGATACAGATGAGTGTGTGTGCCTGTCCTGTGTGATCAGTCATATGCGTGTGTGTGTACAGTATTTTACCTCTACTCTGAGCTCCAGCACCTGACACTCAGTCTTGGGAGATGGCATTGTGAGGAAGCCTGTGTAGGTGTCATGCTTATTGTCCAGGAAGTGAACTCGAGGGTGCCGGCGATCCATGTCAGCTTCCATTGTGTACTTCACCGCTACACAGGGAAGAAAGACACAAGTAGTTAGATGTACAGTCAGGAATAAGTACAGGCCAGGTGTATATACTGTATGAGGATGTATTAGAAAGGGAATAGCACTCACTTATGTTTTTCTTGAAATCTTTGTTTCCATTGCTGAGTGTGTAGGAGAAACACACTGTCACGATCATACTGTAGAAGACATAAAGAAGAGACGGTAACAATTCATTTTAAGGGGTCCTTATTACAGTGTAATTACATACAGTATGTAATTACACTGTAGCAAGTATTGTATTTAAATTGTAATAATTCATAGTTATACTGTAACTGGTGGTAATTGCAGTCTGTAATTACAGAGGTGTAACTGAAAATGCTTGTTACCATGCTTGTTACAAGTTTCTGATAGCATCCGAAAGCACCATACTTCAGCCTGCACAAACCAACTGATAAGTGTTGAAAACCGACCACCTCAATGACACCACTATGCAACAAAGGGCTCTGGAGTCTGATCCCCAGGCCCAGGTCAAGCTTTCGTTTCAAATTCATGGAAGCTTATGAGCACTATGGAAAAAACGTGGGGTTCACATAAAAAATAGTTTAAATTGTTAAATCATTTAACGGTGTATTTGACCTGGATAGCAACAGTATCTTGACAAGCTTAACAATGGTTCAGTTACATTATTGAGCATTAATTAAACATTTTTAGACACATTAATAAACAGTTATGGTTACAATTGTGAGATAGTCATTCAGTACTTGCCAAATTGTGAGCCTATTAAGCTAGGTTGAATAATGGTTAATAAATGCACTTAAAATGGTGTGAAGGAGACTCAATAGTGTTCCTATACTCATTGTATATGGATTCAAAGTATTTATTGAAATGTTTTAACTGGATTATTGGGATGCAATATTATTTATTTTCTGTATCAATTCATTTAATCCATAACCTGCACTTTCTATCATCTCCAAGCATTTCCTGTTGTATTGCATATATAATGCCTAATTGGTGGGAGTGGCTAATCGGCAAAGGTGCCTGCAATCTGTAATCAGGGCCTGTGTTTTCTTGAAAAGGTGTGTTTCCTGAATGTGTGGAAGAGCCATTTGTTTTAGCCACCAGCCATGTGCGTTTACTTTGTAAGTCTGTAGGTTTTTTAAAATACTGTACATGAAGTACTTCTATAACTATTTATTTCGTAGTTCCTCTTTTTTAAGCCTTTTCGATGACACGGTATCGGCCAGCCTGTCACAATAAGACCAACTATTATTCCATCATGTAACCTTGCAAGGGTTTCACGGTTGAAGAACATTCTTAGTTTTGGATGGGATCCCATTGGTGCACTTATTTATTTCACTTGGTAATGAGTAGTAAGTAATTATATGGTAATTGCTCATAGGCACCTATAAAGTTACACTTCACTTTAAATATCTAAATCCTGTGTACCACCTATTAATTACATTGTACTTAGGCAGATAGTACATGTACTCTGTGGTGTACTAGTGTGTTTACCCTCCCACATGGATGGCGCTTCCAGAAGCTTTAAAATGAGGGCCATGCTGTTAGGATGGGAAATGTACTATATACACTATATATACAAATGTATGTGGACAACCCTTCAAATTAGTGTATTTGGCTATTTCAGTCACACCCGTTGCTGACAGGTGTATAAAATCGAGCACACAGCCATGCAAAACATTGGTAGTAGAATGGCCTTACTGAAGAGCTCAGTGACTTTCAATGTGGCACCATCATAGGATGCCACCTTTCCAAGTCAGTTGGTCAAATTTCTGCCCTGCTAGAGTTTCCCCGGTCAACTGGAAGTGCTGTTATTGTGAAGTGGAAACGTCTAGGAGCAACAACGGCTCAGCCGCGAAGTGGTAGGCCACACAACCTCACAGAACAGGACCACTGAGTGCTGAAGCGCGTAACGTGTAAAAATTGTCTGTCCTCGGTTGCAACACTCACTACCGAGTTCCAAACTGCCTCTGAACGTCAGCACAAGAACTGTTCGTCGGGAGCTTCATGAAATGGGTTTCCATGGCCGAGCAGCCGCAGACAAGCCTAAGATCACCATGCGCAATGCCAAGCGTCGGCTGGAGTGGTGTAAAGCTCGCCGCCATTGGACTCTGGAGCAGTGGAAACACATTCTCTGGAGTGATGAATCATACTTCACCATCTGACAGACGAATCTGGGTTTGCCGGATGCCAGGAGAACGCTACCTGCCCCAATGCATAGTGCCAACTGTAAAGTTTGGTGGAGGAGGAATAATGGTCTGGGGCTGTTTCTCATGGTTCGGGCTAGGCCCCTTTTTCTACCCTTTAGTATGTGTACTTTACTGTATTTATACTTGGGATATCGCTTTTCAACAGTAGAAGTAAAAACATTGCTGGAGGACGTCTTTAAAATGAGGCCGGGTTGTCAGGATGGGTAATGTACTGTATAAGTACACATTAATTACAAATAAGTACCCCTCACCATACACTTCACTTTTAACTACTTGGATGGCAAGGAGGTTCAGGTTGTCATAATGGGTAATGTAAAAACATGTATTATAATGGAATGCAAAATGTTATATTTTGGTTAACTACAAAAACAAAAGTACATACACAACCACGTCGTGGCAACTCAAGCACAAGGTAGACCCCAGTCAGTGAAGTTGACCTATAACAGTTTTTGTAAATGTATCCAAGTTAACCCAGATGGTACACTTTTTGGGGGAAAGTGCTAGCAACAACATTGAGTGGAGATTTTGAAGAGTGCGCATTCACAGGTAGGTAATTAGACCCTATTGAGCCTCCAACCTTTGTAATCTCGGACACCCAGCATATCTGTACACAAGAGATTACAACCTTGTGACAGTTGTCACTGAATCGGATGCAGCTGAGAAGAAACAAAACACGAAATTGGTGAATTTTGTGGAAACTTGTCCTTTTGTAAGCTTTTGTTGTCACACCTTACAGATTGCAATTACAACCAGTTACATGTTGTTATTACAGTGTAACTATGAGTTATTACAATTAACTGCACTACTTGTTAGTGTAATTACACTGTAATAAGGACCCATTAAAATGAACTGTTACCAAAGAACAGTTGACATTAATTGACTTTATACAGTGTGATCTGAGCGGAACCTTTCTCACCAGGGTTTGTTTCCAGGGGGACAAACGTTAGGGTCCACAATCTTTGGCTGCACAGTGATGTTCTTAGAGAGATGGATAACTGGACGAGCCCTGGAAAATGAACAATGTTAAAAGATTACACAAAGAATAAAAATACATACACAAAAATAATTATATTACTATCAAGAGCAGACATGTTGGAGGGACAGATTAAAGTGAGACAGAAACAAGATCAAAATGGATAAATATATCCAAATTTATTTTGGCAGTTTTAGTTTATTAAATTCAATACATATTTATTGTTCACTACTTACCTGAGCAGAGCGATGCGATCATCCAGAGAACCAACTAGGAGGTCAGGGTAACTGTTCTCATCCATGTCCATACCTCCGCTGATGGAATAACCAAAGGTCTGGAACCAACTACTACCCACTGACTTCCCCTCAATCACCTATAGAGGGCAACACGGACACGTTGCTAGCTACATAAATCACAATACAGTTAAAGATTCTCAACTGGGATATAGTCTGTCCTCTCCTCAACTCCTCCGTTCTCCTCTCCTCCGTGACCTGGAAACTGATAAGTGGTCGCCATATGTAGGAGAGTATCAATTAGTTAATAGGTGAGCGGAGGAGTTTCCTCCTCTTCTCGATTGCTTCCTTTAGTGGAGGATACTGAAGTGGAGAAGGAGAGTCTCATAGAAGTGCATTTGTATCCATGTTTCCTCTCCTCCCCCTCTCGCCTTGATTACCTTTGACCTTTTCCAAAAGGAGGGAGGACTGAGGAGAGGATGCGAGGAGTCAAGCAAAACCAATTGAAAATCTCCTCAAATCTTTCCCCCATTTCCCTGCATTTGCCTCAGTTCTCCCTGTCCTTTTGTATTCATAGCAGATAATGTATTGTGCATTACTGGGGGAATATTAATGAACTATGATCTATACTGAACACAAATATAAACGCAACATGTAAAGTGTTGGTCCCATGTTTCATGAGCTGAAATAAAAGATCCCAGACATTTTCCAGACGCACAAGAAGATTATTTCTCTCAAATGTTGTGCACACATTTGTTTACATCCCTGTTAGTGAGCATTTCTCGTTTGCCAAGATAGTCCATCCACCTGACAGGTGTGGCATATCAAGAAGCTGATTAAACAGAATGATCATTACACCTTGTGCTGGGGACAATAAAAGGCCAATCTAAAATGTGCAGTTTTGTCACACAACACAATACCACAGATGTCTCAAGTTTTGAGGGAGCGTGCAATTGGCATACTGACTGCAGGAATGCCCACCAGAGCTGTTGCCAGAGAATTGAATGTTCATTTCTCTACCATAAGCCGAATTTGGCAGTACGTCCAACCGGCCTCACAACCCCGACAAGGACCTCCACATCCGGCTTCTTCACCTGCGAGATCGTCTGGGACCAGTCACCCGGACAGCTGATGGGTCTTCACAGATGAATCCCGGTTTCAACTGTACTGGGCAGATGGCAGACAGCGTGTATGGTGTTGTGTGGGCGAGCGGTTTGCTGATGTCAACTTTGTGAACAGAGTTCCCCATGGTGGCGGTGGGGTTATGGTATGGGCAGGCATAAGCTACAGACAACGAACACAATTGCATTTTATCTATGGGAATTTGAATGCACAGAGATACCGTGATGAGATCCTGAGGCCCATTGTCATGCCATTCATCCGCCGCCATCACCTACTGTTTCAGCATGATAATACACAGCCCCATGTCGCAAGGATCTGTACACAATTCCTGGAAGCTGGATATGTCCCAGTCCTTCCATGGCCTGCATACTCACCAGACATGTCACCCATTGAGCATGTTTGGGATGCTCTGGATCGACGTGTACGATAGTGTGTTCCAGTTCCGGCCAATATCAAACAACTTCGCACAGCCATTGAAGAGTAGTGGGAGAACAATCCACAGGCCACAATCAACAGCCTGGTCAACTCTATGCAAAGGAGATGTGTTGCGCTGCATGAGGCTAATGGTGGTCACACCAGATACTGACTGGTTTTCTGATCCACACCCCTACTTTTTTTTTTAAGGTATCTGTGACCAACAGATGCATATCTGTATACCCAGTCATGTGAAATTCATAGATTAGGGCCTAATTTATTTATTTCAGTTGACTGATTGCCTTTTGTGAACTGTAACTCAGTAAAAACGTAGAAATTGTTGCATGTCGCGTTTATATTTTTCCGTGTATAAAATGAATCAAACCAGTCTAATTCCCTAATGGGTAATATTACTGTACCTGACTGGGCTCCTCAGAGATTCCCTTCTTGCTTCCCATAAAGATGTAGACCTTCCTAGACTCATGAAATGGGGCTCCTACTGCAAAGTCTATAGAGGAAATAGAAGCATTGGAAATACATGACCATACATTTAGGAAATGACCAATTAAGTTTGCTCAAACAATTAATAATCTGCATATTTGATGCATATAATACAAAGTAAGTAGTGCATAGTGTCATCCTGGATGTAAGCCCTTGTGCTGGCTGTATTTGGCCTCTAGGTGGCAGCAGCATAACAGCAGAAAGGTTTTACTGGACTGGAGAGCCATTTCTGACCTATCTGATGACACCAATTATATTTGCCTCTATCATATTGGTGACATTGTACAATGGATTCTGATAGGAGGTTAACCATGATTCTCTTTGACCAAAGTAGATCTGATTCCAGTCCTCCTTGCGGTACAGTTCAGCACTGTTCTAATTCTTTAAAAGTGCATCTTTCCTTCTCCCTTTGAAGAAATCACTGATTATATTTTACTAGACAGGTGAAAGCCATGTGGTGGAGCCCTTGCGGTCACCTGTCCAATCATATCAAATGAGTGACTCCTTCAAGTAAGGGAGGGAGGAATTTGAACAATGCCCAAAATGTTACCATGGTATGTTAGTCCTACCTTGGAATCCATCTTGGTTGACGTCTCCAATGGCTGAAACGGCGAATCCAAAACCAGATGCCGCAGGACCCTTCAGTACCATGCTAGGAGTCTTCTGGAAAGATCCGTTCTCGTTCATGAAGACATACACCGCTCCTCCCTCATTCTCCTTACGGTCAAAGTAGAACGGGGCACCTACGATCAGGTCATTCCATCTAGGATGGTTAAAATAAAAAAGTGCACACACAAATATTAACACACAAGATACACAGATATTGTATCATTGTAGCATACCTGGATCACAATGCTGGTATCAGTGAATAGTTTACCAACCATTATACCTCCTTATTTTTGTATTATTATTGGCTTTCAGAGAGGGCAACATATCAGCTTAGCCTATGACATGGCATCATAATGCTTTACATCTTTTGGCTTGTCTCATGTGTTGCCAAAGTATGTTCTTGACAATGTGTTATTCAGTATAATCTTTATCTCTGACATACTAACAGGTAATGAAGACAAATGCTCATGTGTTATGAGAAGAGAGAGCACACATGCCTCAGCCATGATGTCTTGACAGATACCCTTTCTGAGGTGGTGAAACGACAAGGACCGTCTCTTTTCAATTCAGCCACTGTATACATTATCTGCATAAGTCAGGTAGAGCGTGTAATAGTAGAAGTAAAAACTACAGCTGAGGTAATACTGCTGATGGGCTGTTGGTACCATTTTATTTTACAGGGTGATATAATTTAAACTCAATAAATCACATATTAAAAGAATAATAAAATGTTCTCAATACTTTTCTCAAAAGATTAGCATTTGCTATTCTTTTGCCTTTGCGTTTGCTATTGTTTGGTTTCTGACTGCTAGATAATCAAGCTATTGGCATTTGGCACACAGAGAGAGACCCACTAAAGCTGGGGATTTCCTATGGTCGGTGTTGACGTACTCGTCATTGTTGAGGTCGGTGACAGCTAGGCTGGTCCCGAAGTACGAGCCCACTTGTTCTCCTGGGGTGATGAACTCGGTTGTTAGGTCTGTGTCATCCTTCTTGGCCAGTGTCACCGAGTCGTTTTGACTAAGCAACTTCCTGTCCTCATAGACGGAGTAACCTGTGGTGTTAAAACAACATTAAAATAATGTTGTAAAAACGTTACAGTTCCATTTATGGTATGTAGGCCTAATCAGTGGCCTTTAATCTTTCAACACTAAGGTCAAAGGTAATTTCCTGTGATACAGTTGCCAGTTGCCATGCCACTATGCTAAACAGAGCACTGCTATCTAGATAGCATCTGGAGTTCCTCTTTCTTGTTCTCGTTCAATTCATAAGTTCAAAGAGATGTTTATCTTTATGAATGGGTGAGCGGTTATGTTTGCGAGTCCTTATGGATGAAAAAGCACAAGACACAGTCCTAGTCTATCTACTGTGCCCTCTACCCTGTTCATCCAGAAATGGCTCTGCAAGCCAGGTCAACGATAGAGCCATACTACATGTAGCTATATCATCTGTTCAGTTACCCAAAGTCTTTGACATTCAAGTCCCACGAGTTTCCTGGATCAGGGTCTGAACAGCTGCCTAGGTAACAAAGAAAAAAGAGAACAATACAGTTTCACACAAACTTTTAAGCCATGATGTTAGAGTTTACAGAAGAAGCTTTGAGGCTGCAACTATCTCTTTCTCTTTGAACTCCTTTGGCGCCCACCTTGCCACACGTAGCTTAGCGTTTAGATATGATGCTAGCAATGAATCAATGTTGTCAGTTAAGAAATAAAGCATTGAGGGGACTATGATCTGTTGTGAATAGTCACAGCTCAATGGTCAAAATGTACTACTCTATTGTTGACCTGTACTGAAAATTATTCAAATTAGCATAGGACTTCACAAAGTGTTTACCGTGTGTGTTATGTATTAGGGTTGTATACGCAGAGCATCATGGGTAAAGTGTGTGTTGAGATGAGCACGTTCAGATAAATGGCTGAACTAATTTCCTTCTCCCATCTCCTCATTATTGAATTGTTATGAAGACGTGGTTATGAAACCAACGCGACATAACAGTATGACTGTGACATTGCGTAATGTTATTGGCCCAGCTCGCTGACACCAACAGGAACACAGTGAGTCAAGTGTTTTTGGTGTCTTGAGGACCTAACATTCCCTGAAACCAGGTGGTGCGAGAACAAGTGGTGCTGTAGAGCAGTTAAAATTCAAGTCTCACATCCATGTAAATCTCAGGTCTCATACCTCGCTGATACAGTTCCTTCAGAAAGTATTCATACCCCTTGACTTATTCCACATTTTGTTGTGTTAACAACCTGAATTTAAAATTGATTATTTAATTTGTTTTACCTTTATTTAACTAGGCAAGTCAGTTAAGAACAAATTCTTATTTACAATGACGGCCTATATATATATATACACTACCGGTCAAAAGTTTTAGAACACACACTCATTCAAGGGTTTTTCTTTATTTTTACTATTTTCTACATTCTAGAATAATAGTGAAGCCCAAACCAGATGTCTAAGTATTCACACCCCTGTGAATACCTGTTAGAATCACCTTTGGCAGCGATTACAGCTGAGTCTTTCTGGATAAGTCTCGAAGAGCTTTGCACACCTGGATTGTACATTGGCACATAATTCTTTAAAAAATTATTCTGTCAAGATGGTTGTTGATCATTGCTAGACAGCCATTTTCAAGTCTTGCCATTTTCAAGTCTTGCAATTGATTTTCAAGCCGATTTAAGTCAAAACTTTAACTAGACCACTCAAGAACATTCAATTTCGTCTTGGTAAGCAACTCCATTGTATATTTGGCCTTGTGTTTTAGGTTATTGTCCTGTTGAAAGGTGAATTTTTTTCCCAATGTCTGTTGGAAAGCAGACTGAACAAGGTTTTCCTCTAGGATTTTGCCTGTGCTTAGCTCTATTCCATCTCTTTGTATCCTAAAAAATTTTAAATATGAAGAGTGGTACTCAGTGATGTGTTGTGTTGGATTTGCCCCAAACATAATGCTTTGTATTCAGGATGTAAAGTGAATTTCTTTGCCACATCTTTTGCAGTATTACTTCAGTGACTTATTGCAAACAGGATATATGTTTTAGAATATTTATATTATGTACAGGCTTTCTTCTTTTTACTCTGTCATTTTGGTTAGTATTGTGGAGTAACTACAATGTTGTTGATCCATCCTCAGTTTTATCCTATCACAGCCATTCACCTCTGTAACTGTTTTAAAGTCACCATTGGCCTTACGGTGAAATCCCTGAGCGGTTTCCTTCCTCTCCGGCAACTGAGTTAGGAAGGGCACTTGTATCTTTGTAGTGACTGGGTACATTGATACACCATCCAAATTGTAATTAATAACCAATAGGTGCTCTTTTTTGCAAGGCATTGGAAAACCTCCCAGGTCTTTGTGATTGAATCTGTGTTTCAAATTCAAACCTTGACTAAGGGACCTTACATATAAGATGTGTGGGGTACAGAGATAAGGAAGTCATTCAAAAATCATCAGTCCATGCAACTTATTATGTGACTGGTTAAGCAAACTTTTACTCCTGAACTTATTTAGGCTTGCCATAACAAAGGGGTTGAATACTCATTGAAGGCAAAGAGAGTTTCAAAAGTGCCTGGCACCACCACTCCTACACAGGCCTCAGTGTTTAATCAATCAATCAAATGTTATTTGTCACAGTACATTATAAAAGTGACCACTAACAGAAGTCTACACAAAAACACTATACTATGTCATATACAGGCCAAGGGTTTTTTAACTGGTCAGGTTTCATGGTCACGAAAAACTCCTGGCCCTAATTCATTTTTATCATGTGACCTGAGCAGGGAAAAACTCCTGGCCCATGTCATACAGTGAAGGAACAGAAGTATCCCACTACTAAGTGGACAAAGGTAATTCAGCCCGTATAGGACTATACAATAAACATGGCCCTGAAAGAGATGTAAAGACAGAGGCAACCTGTCGTCACTAAGAATAATATCTCATATTACTGTTGCAAGGGTGTCCTATTCCCAACCATTACAGTAAGTACGACTTGCATCCCCTCTCCCAAGAGCATGGCTCTGACATACTCTAGCTACAACAGCAATCACTGCCTCATCTGAAACAGAAAGGAGACAATTATCCCTCCTTTATCCTGATGTGCATTATCAGCCATTAATCAATTCCCTTGCCTGGGTGATGACAACCAGTAAGGGCCAATGTGACCAAGGTCTGCAGATTGTTCCCCACACCGTGCCTCTTACTGGGGCTTATGACAAGTGCTCCCAGTAGGCTCCGTAGGGATGCAGAGAGAACTTGACTGGTGATCACTCAGTAGCTAGTCTTTATCTGAGATTCCACAGACGGTTGGAGGACCGGGACCACTGACGGATGCGTGGGGAATCAAGGCAGTAGTAGGACACATGACTAGGTCTTAAGGGAAGGAGAGGAGATGCCGATGTTGTAGCAACAGAGGGGTGTCTGTGTGTGTGTTTGTAGAGGGTGGAAAGGTGAAATTGTGTGTATGGGGGGGGGGGGGGGGGGCATACTGTAGCTTATGCGAGGTGGAGGGGGCATTGTAGTGGCTTCCTTACCAATTGACCATAGCCACTGCCCAAGCCTGAAGCGGGGTTGTTTCGGACGCATACAGTCCACATTCGAAGTTCCCAAATGGCAAAAACATTCAATGAGATCCAGGGATATGGTGCAACAAGAAGGTTTATTCTTCTTATATCTAACAATACATGATTCTCCAATCAACTTAAAGTATAGATTACTTGATGTGAAAAATACATAATATGGCCTGTTCGTATGTCTGTATGTCTGTATGGTCAAAAGACTATACTGCTCCCGCATCTAGCTAGGACTCCCCTCCCCTCGAAGGCCCAACTTCCTGCCTTTATCCTATCACTAACACACTTACCACAGTACAATGAATGGGCAAGAGGGGGAGACAAAAACGAAGTTACACCAATAACAAAGAGTCTCTGAGTCACAAATTTAAATGGTGAGAGAGAGAGAGAGAGAGAGAGCGACCATATTTATGTTTATTTATTCTTCCCATTTGTACTATTACTATTGCACATGTGTTAACACTGTATTTCCTGAATGATGACATTTGAAATTCTTTATCTTTTAAACTTCTGGATGTAATTTTTACTGTTAATATTTATTGTTTATTTCACTTTGTTTTTCCTATCTACTTCATTGCTTTGGCATGTTTAACACACTGTTTCACCATGCCAATAACGCCTTAATTGCATGAATTGAATGAGAGAAGAGAGAGAGAGAGAGAGAGCGAGAGAGAGATAGAGAGAGGAGAGAGGAGATAGAGGGAGGGAGGGAGGAGGGAGGGGAGAGGAGAGGAGAGGAGAGAACAATAGAAGTGGAGAGAACTGCATTGTATCACAAAGTTAGACAAAGGAGAAAGTGACACTACAAGCACGGTGGATGGTGTCTTTTTTTATGGGTAAACAGTCTTTTTTGGTAAACAGGTATCTGTCTTCCAGAAACGTATATTTATTTGTTTATTTGGATCCCCATTAGCTTTTGCAGAGGCAGTGGCCTATTGCCTTTCCTGGGGGTCCACAAAGAACACAAAAACATTGGCCAGTAACAAAAAACACTTGTACACTGATAGACAAAGGACCAGTCACAACAAATTTTAAATAGCAACGATATCAAACAACAATACAACTAAAAATATCTAATTAATAAATAAAGAAAAAAAAAATGTGGTTGGTGTTAGAGTGTGTCTATGTGTGTGTCCCCTCACAGTCCCCATTGTTCCATGAGCTGTTGTTTAATATATTTTTTAAAGGTAATTTTGCTGTTTGCTTGAGTAATTGGGGATGGAAGGGAGTTCCATGCGATCATGGCTCTGTATAATACTGTGCTTTGGCGTGAATTCATTTTGGACTTGGGGACTATGAAGAGACCCCTGGTGGCATGTCTTGTGGGGTATGTATGGGTGTCTGAGCTGAATGTTATTTCATTATGCAGACAATCTGGAATTTTCATTACAGTAATAATTCTCATAAAAACTAGAAGAGAAGCAGTTCATCTCTTCGTCAACCCTCAACTAGGAAAGACTGGCATACATGTCGTTGATGTTAGTTCTGTATATGCAGTAAAGGGCAAGGTGTGCTGCTCTGTTTTGAGCCAGCTGCAGATTTGCTATTTCTTTCTTTCGGGCACTTGATATCTAAAGGGGTCTTAAAATTCCAAATCAAATCGCTAAATGATCCTTGGTATGACCATCTTAAACAATTCATATGTTAGCTTAGTAGAACACACACTCCTTTAGGCTTTGGTTAAAGATTTAGCAAATAGGTGTGGCAATACAGTCTTCTACCATTCTCACTAGTTTCCCATCAAGGTTGTCTAACAATGTCAACGGCTGATGTGGATGTGGTGTAGGAGTCAGGCGCAGGACACAGAAGCTTCGTCCAACAGACTTTACAAGATGACAAAATACAAACTAATGGGCCTCTACTAACCCGGAGGCGAGCGATTACGCAACAGTGCGCAAAACACCAAAATACAAACAGATTACGCAAATAGTGCGTCTGTGCTCAAAACA